AAATTCAATATTCAAAGCGGAATTCCTATTCATCAACAGCACTTAACACACTCAAAGCACCGGAATTTTATGTGAAGCTGAAAGAGACAACTCCAGTTTAGACCATTATAATGACTGAGCTTTGAATGAAACTCCTATCTGTATACTGACCACGTCAATAATGAAAAAACGGACGGAATCATAATTAGTCTTCATGATACTAAGTTAACAATAGTTTGTCACACAGAATTCACTGAACAGTGAATGATAAGGTAAGGAAGAATGAAAGTGCCTAATTATGTATTGATAGGATGTTCCGACAGCTCAGGTAAAAACAATGACCGTCATTAATTTAAAATGATATTTTCGGTAGAGAGATTTCATCAAAATGAACATTCACAACGGACTCATTGTTGATTGCAATCATCACAAAAACACGTATACACAATACTACTGATTTGCAAATGTAATGTTGCAAAACTCCTGTAAGACAAGTCAGTTTCTATTGAATGAAGACGATTACGCAAATAATAAAAACCATGTTTTGAATTTTATTAACAATATCACATCATTTATTAAGTAAACAAACATAAGAATGTATATAAACCAATTCTTCTCAATTATTTATAGGGTCAGGCGTAAAGTTTTTCAAACGGATGAAGAATTGATCATCCAGATGAAGAAATCAGAGCTATGTGTACTGAAGAAATATCTTCAACCACTCCTCCACACTGGTCAACATCAAGGCCAATTATTCAATAATGATCTTAGCTACTGAATGACCTAATTTGACTATTTTACCTACGACCGTCCGTCGTCAAGTGTAATTGTCTATGTTGTCTCTATTCATAAATCATTTGATCATTATTAATGTTTAAACATAATTGTTATTCTCATCAATATATGATTCATTCACTTCGCATTCATCCATCCTTATTATGTGCTACTGATTTTTCACACAGTATAGTCTTCCACCAAACATTTGACCATACTGTAATTGCACTATTATGTCTCTCACCCTATCTGACCCATATTTATTCTGATCATGGATCTTAAATTTTCACTAAACATAAATGCAGATTCAAGTTAACATTCTATATGAGTTATATCAACATTAACAATTTTACTGCATTTTGTTTGATAAACCTAGATTCACGTGCTTTAAACGAAGTGCTTTGCCCTTAAACTGGTGAAGTGTTTGTAATAACTAACTATTCTCTTGTACTTGATGACTATTTGATTTCGAGTTCCAAATACAATACGTTCGTTCGTACTGATCTAGTACTTCTTGATCGAATTTCGATATTTCTGGGATTCTTAGTTTGTAATATAATTAAAATACTTCGAATTATGATATTGGCGTCGTCATGGGGTCTGCGATGGAACAGTTAGATATTCATTCAACTTCTGAAGCTATTTGGAAAGATTGAAAATCTAGAGCATGATGAAGAAATATGTCAAAGATGATAAAATTGTGGCACATTTTCTCACATTCATCGGAAACAAAGCATACAGCATACTGGAAACTTTGGCATATCCAGAAGAGCCTTTCTAATTTTTTTTTGCAACTCTTAAAAAATTATTATTAAATCATGCAAATTACACCAGTTTTGAATGCCGTAAAAGGCGAAATATCATAAGATGATTCGTCAGAATGACCAACAGGTTAGGGAATTCATCCATGAATTGCAGAAACAAACTGCCAATTGTAGTCTCGGTGGTCAACGTCATGTGCAGCTGAGAGATCGACTACTTGCAGGAATTAACATAGCATGTCTGGAAAGAGAGCTGTTAAGAATGCCGAACTGTTCCTCTTAGGATGCTAAAAATGCATGTGTTAACTAAGAGGCAAAGAATGAATTTGATATCCAGTCGATGAAAATTTTTAATACATTGCTTAGTCGTCATGATGAAATACAATCTCAGGATAGATCAAAGTTTCGTCCGTTTAATACTAATGCCTGTTTGCGTGGAAATATGAAAGTTGTTTCAATAAGGAATCGCAAAGCAAACAGTGAAATATCACTGAGCCCTAGACAAATCATCCGGTATTTGGGTCACTCAATATCGAAAAAATCATCGATTGTCGTCGAAGTCAAGGACAACCGATACTCATCAGTCAATCGTACGCCATGGACTTGCCCGGAAACAGTGGTCTTAATTTTACTTATATCTACTTTAACCGATATATTTCTGTAATAACGTCCTTTGTGTTGTAGAGTCATCAAAGCATTTAAAGTACTTTGGTACGTCAATGGGGTCATCCATGTAGGGTGCTGAACACTAGTTGTGAATTCGGTAATAGCTGTTTCGTCACTACATTCCCGTCCATCTCGAGCAGGCCCCCAACCATTCGACATAAATTATCCACGCTGTTGATCTGCAGCTCAACAGTGATCCCTATTGGCGTGAAAATATTAAAGTTATTTCCACAGGGAACTGCAAAGCAAACAACAGGTGTGAGATCAAGTTTGGTAAATGTTAATCTTGTGACAAATTTCATTCTCGTAATCCACGTACATTTCATAATGCTGAATGTTTTAAATGTGGTAAGATAGGATGCATACAATCACTATGCAAAACTACTGTTCATTTTACTTCAAGTAGTACTAAACCTTGCATATTAAAGCCCATTAATTCGGCTCTTCCTAATGATCATGTGTCTTTGTCTACATTTAGAAAGATAATGCTCATATTCAAAAGCGATTATATACATCGCTTGGTTAATTTCATGACTTTATTGCGAACACAGGCAGTACAGAGTCCATTATTTCATTCAAGAAATTGAAATCTTCTGATCCAAACGCTGTGGTAAGACCCACTGAAATCTCAATACTGAGGATTATTGTACGAAGACTGTCCATACGACGATGTTGTGAGTTGCAAATAAGAGATTATAATTCTTCATACAAACTTTTTGAACTTTTAGTTAGGGAAACAGAACTGTCAATACTGAGTATCAAAAAACGGAAACGTTTAAGGTGGAGTTGTCTTTACTAGTTTCTAAAGAAAATTCCGATGCTTCAACTGGAAGTTTGATAGCTGTGTGTACCAAGTGGAGAAGAGTTATGAAAATTCAGCCTATAGAACTTCAAGTACAGGGTGACCCAGTCTTACTCAAGGGATGAATAAATTATTATGATCTTCCAGAAGAGTAGTTCGTAAGATATTTAAATGTAATGAAAAACAAGAGTCATGCTCTCGATATCTATTAAAGGTTTTTCCAAGTGATGCTGTTCTTCGAACTTACTCTCCTAGTGTACATTCTGCACTTCATACTAATGCATTAACAGTGAGTATTGGTGCGGTTTTGGAGCGGGAAAGTAGACCAGTAATCTGTGTTTCACTCAAACTTACTGTTGTTCAACATGGTTATTTACAGTGCGGAGTATTAGCCGAGTTTTGGGCTGTCAAACGTCACTAATATTTATTTTGAGAGACGTTCACTATTGTTATTGACCATGAAGCTTTACAATTTGTTTTTCAGCCTTGGCAATTTCCCCAGCTGATGTGGTTTTAATTATGGAGCTATTAAAAGGAAGAATTCTTCGGTCGAATATGAGGTGTTTAGAGCATACAGAAGTTTCACATTATCGTGGGAATGATCTTCGACTAGCCATAGGGATCGTGGTGAATAATGTTGGCAAGTCTATGGTGCTAATTCTAGATATCAGTGACTTAAGTATACACTAATGACATGTTGATCAAATACAGTTCGACGGACCAGGTGAATCTGTTTCAATTTCAGTTGTTAATCCTAATACTAGTGATTGCATTGTAGATAATACAGAGTCTTTATCCAATAGGATGTCGGAATGAAACATGAAGAACCTGAGTAGAAGACGTATAATCGATCACAGAAATTTGGACGCCATTTAAAGTTGTGTCGAATGTGATGATTGCATGAACTAACGATTCCTTTGTACTTGTTAAATCCTTGGTTTTGAATTCCAAATACAACACCTTCGTTCGTGCTCATCTAATACGTCTTGATCCAAATGCATGATTTCTAAGATTTTTAATTTGTCCTATAATCCAAATACTCAAAATTATGACAACTGGCAATTTTTCGGATTGTTTATTTGGATGTATAATTGTAGAACCGGAAGAAAACATTATTCGTTCAAATATCAGTTTTTTAATACGATGGGGATATGTGTTGGACCAAACAGCATATAAACTCAAAAAGAGGGACAGAGTTATTGAGTACAAACAGTAATGTTTATATATCAGTTAAACGTTATAAACATAATAAAAAATTAGGGACGTTACTTAATCCAGATGGTTTGTGCGTGTTCATGTTGAGTTTGGTACCAGAATCCACAGTTATAGATGATTGATGGTTCCAGTAAGATTGTTGTCTTTCCAGTGATATAGCCATTCGTAGAATATAATATAAATTTGGATGCAGTCTATAAGTGTAGACAGTAGGTGATTTAGAGTTCAGTTATCACAACCATGAACAATGGAAAATAAGAGATGTGTGTATCATGATGCGTGTGTCATGAGATGAGTGTAACACGACGGAAGGAAGTGTGTTCTAGGCCATACACTTAAACAACATAAACAATCTTTCAATGATAAATGTACTGGCTGTGAAAAATTACAGAATAAATACAAGTAACATCAAAAACGATTTACAAAATAAATTTGTCATGCCTATCTCCACAGATCGTCAAGCAAATAAAGGAGTCTATAATCGTTCATATATAATTTTATGAATACTAGGTACTATGCCTCGGAAGCCATGTTGGTGTGTGATATTTTAAATGTGTGCTTGGACAAGAGAGTGACAGCATATGCACTAATCCTCAAAGCATCTGATCTATTAACTCTGTTCAACTCTCTTGAATTGAGCGAATGAAGTCCATAAATCTGTTTTTCTCTCGGTGATGAAACTATTCATAAGATTAATAATTATGTTTTAAAGTCTGCACGGTTGGCAAAGAAACTAGTTACCTTACATTAGTGCCTCTCTAGGATATTGAGTGCAGTAACAAGAAACTGAAAGTAAACACGACCTTGAAAGTATTTAAAATAGTGTCCACATGTTGTCTTACTCACCGTTGTCGCGTTAAATAAGTGTGTTGTCGCTGGCATTGATGGTCATTTTAACATCCACTATGTTGAATAATTATCATGATATGATTTCAATTAGAGACTGAAATTTAAGCTGCGACATTAAATGTGTATTCATGGTTTACATTCTCTGAAATCTTTCGATATCTTAGAAGGAGGGATTTAATTAACTGCTGGTTTAAGTTTCTGCTATGGATCAGCTGGCTTCATATTCTGTGGTTATAACCCAATCAACTAATAAAGGGAGAATAAAGAGGGACAGTAAAGAAATAAGAATAACTTTCCGTTACGAAACAAAGAATAAGTGAATGGGAAACGCTCCCAGAAGCCTCCTTTTACTCTTTTCATGGAGAAGTAATGTGAAAATTACTCTTTTTGTCGCTCTATGCCCGAAACATTATTGAGTCGTCTAGTCTTCGTCGAAATGCTCACCAAATAGCCTACTTTTCGTCTAAGCACTCACCAACCTTTTTTTGCTCTGACCTTAATTACACGCTTTATTTTCTACCTCCAACCTAACTCCGAATGTCTCCTATGTTCGCCTTTTTTTCCATAACAAACCAGATGAGGACTACAATTGACCTTATTAAAATATTGTACATGGTTAAAAATATTAGCAATAAATAACACTACATTTCACTCCGGGAAATAATAACACAGATGCTCAAGCACTGTTCGTTGCTTATTCTCATCGTAAGTACAAAGTCCTAGTGTCATTTACAAAGATCTGCGAAAGTAATTAGAGGTAATAAATTATTGTGTAAGAATGTGTATGTAAAATCAAACAAACTTTCACAACATACACTTCATTAGTTCAAGAGTTCCACGTGCAAGTTAGTAATCCGGTACATGGTACCTAAAAGCTTTATTGAACATAAAAAGCATTTCAATAATAACTTTTCTTAAACTTCAGTGTTACCATTTTGAACCAAAATAATCTTCCTGTCAATTTTGTAGTTGAATAAACATAAATTTACAACGATGTCTAACTGACATAGTTTATTAAACAACTATCAACCTAAAGTATGACTTACGGTTACGTTCACTAATAAGGAACACTGCATTTTAGAACAGCATTAAAGTTATAACTTCAAATTGGTACATACATGTCCTGGTTTTCTTCCGTGACGCTTTTGTATTTCGTATCTTACGTCGCGAAAGTACCCTTAAGTCGCCTTGCCATACAGTTTAGCTAGTTGTTTTTCTTTGACAGATGACGATAAGAACAGCGATTTTAGTGCATCTAATGATTAGAAGGTAAAAAATATTCTGACTTTGTACGCTGCTATAAAACTTGCACTTCTGAAGTACTCTTCGATGTAGTGCCTAGTATTGTAGAACGGCTGGCATATTCGAGTGTCATGACGAATAATAAAATATAACACGTAGACTTTTTCGAATTATTATCCATTAGCCACGTCACCATGGCCGTTTGGAATGTAAATGAATAATCCAATGAATTTAGTAGACTTACAGATTTGTCCTTCATATCTTCTTACTAAACAAACGCATTCAACGTTCACAGTTCCTCTTCAGATGAAAAGGAGAACTGCAGACTTGATAGTACAGTATTAAGTTTCCGTAGTTCTTCACGACCATCAAACTTAGACATTGGTTGCACAATGTTCGCACTCAAGTCTGATATAGCTGGTAATATATTCTCCAGTAAAACATGCAGTTTGCCAAATCCTAAGCGTTTACTTCAATCGAGCACGTGACTTTCCCGGCCGAAAACGCCCTGCCCACGCACTTCAACCTTGACGTTGTGGAGGGGGTCTCATCCAGCTGCGTCGAACTAGTTTATCAACACTTAAATATAACGCCTACTTCGAAATTGGTGAGTTGTATGTCTGTCTTTCTGTAAGTAATATCATAGCGTGTTTCTTGTTACAGATAATCTTAGGTAATCATTTGCTTAAGTATAAAGCAGTTTGATATTTTCTATGTATCACGACAAGGCTTCAGTGACTTCAACACTTTTTGAATTCTACAGGACTTGAATAGAAGAAGTAATTGTACCGTCAAGACAGTAAACTAGGCTTTTATCGGAATATGTTAAAGTTATATGAGGTAGTTTTTTTTATTATTTTGAGGGATAAGATCTTACCATAATTTATATTTTTCTCAGCTACTTGGGATTTTAAATAAATGGCGTAATATATTTGGCGTTCTAGGTCAACGAAGTATACTTTAATAAACTACTCTATGTTGCTAGTTGGTTAATCATATGAATAATTTTTATCCGGCTTTTGTTTTGCGAAAATGGGTTTTATTTATAAAAAGCTTAAGGAAATTTGTGAAAATCGATCCCCAGTTAGATGTTACACTACACTACTGGCCCTAGTTAGTTAGGTTGATACACAGCTTGCCACAACCCTCATGGTATTAGTAGCAAACACCAAGCCAATAAATTATCCGCGAATCTCAAGCTATTTTGAAATAATATCTTTCGAAAAATTAGATTTATATGAGCTGTATAAACAACATTCTTCGAACCGAGATATTAGGTCAAAAACCAATAGTATTAAACCATGAGCAGTTAATCAACCCGATTTTTACGATCGTTTGACGATAAAAAATAAGACAAATATTTATGAATAGAAAATACATTTTTGGCCTTGTGAAAAAACTCTGAATATCTTAATCAGTCATTTGTATCCTAAATCCCTCCATTGTTATAGAATTAACTCCTAAACACTTTCTCAGTGGCAGCCTTAAGCGGTACACAGTATTGCAGTTCTTTAACTTCTATACATTATTAACGGGTTTAATCACTTTGTATAGTAGAACAAGGGACTTTATATACGAAGCACCTCACTATTTAGATTCATTTATTTTAGAATGTTTTCATTGGTATATCTTCTAAAATTATGAATCTGTTTATTTAAAATACATAATGAATAATTGCTTTCATTATCACCTGTTAGTTCCAAAAGCCAAATTAAAAACAATGATAGAAACAAATTCGGAAACCACAATCTCTTCGAAGGATATAGATTTGCGTATAAATTTGACCAACCCTGCTGATAATGAAAAGGGATCACTTCACGCTTACCAGAAGAGATATCTGTCATCCAACAAAGATGTCGACTACCGAACTTACTTGCCACGAGTTCAAATGGATTCTATACGGAAGGAATACTGTCTTACTGGAAATCCATCATTTATTAAAACTTCGTGTGTTACCGCATATGAATGTAATCAGCCTTTCGTAGACAGAAAACGGTATTCTTCACAACATAGTGAGCAGTCCTTAAATCTGAAAACTAATGGTTCTGCGCGATCTAGTCCTAACAATTCGCTACCTGAAAGGAAGTGGCAAGATGAACAGTCCGATTCGTCCAATCTACCAACAATTAATGTCCCCCGTTTAAATTCTACTGCTCTTCTGCCTACCCCTTTCACAAAGCCATTCAAGGCGTCTGATAATCCGTCTCATTGTTATCGTCAACAGAATTCGACTTGATGTTTGCAACAATAGTGTATGACAAAGACAGTATGGAAAAGCCCATAAAGATATTATGCTTAATAATTTTAGAATAAATAACAAATTTTTACTTTAACTCAGAGTACTCAGTTACAGCAGTCTTCCTAATTTCAGTTGAGTACAGTTCGTTGCAATACTCTTATATGTACATATCATTTTTGTGGAAATAAAGTACAGGTGATGTTTTCTATTACTCTTTCCTCTAAAAAAATGCCCTCTGCCAAGTATTTGTTGTTATCAGCCAAATTAGAAAAAGCTACAAATATTATGCATTAATCTGAATTCTAATTTGGTTTACGTTCTGTTTTCTTGAATATTTTTTGTGTATACTTTTGAAGTAAGAATTATTATATATTGGCAATTTGTCTTTTTATGCGTTCGTTAGAATATATCTTTGTTTTTTTGTCAAGTCTGCGTTGTTAACAGTTAATCTGGATTTTTTTTACCTAAATGTAAGGTAGAGGGAGGTATGATTGCTTAAATGAATATATTACATGCAACATATTGTATTTGTTAATATTATTTTCGATTGTCTGATCGTACGTATGTTGAGAGCAACGTTATTAATTTTAAGATGTTTTCATCCTTACTGTATAGGAGAAATAAAATAATACATCTTGTATACTAAGATGTTCAAACTATTAATTCATTCCGTGATCCATAGTTTGAGAACATTACATGTATCAGTTATTAGGCTGTCGTCCTATCGAACTCATGATCAGGAGTGATAACTGAGACAACATAAGATGTATAGGGATTTCTTCGTGTTTGCAAAAAGTAATCGCTTTTTTAACAACACTTTCTTGTAAAACCTGTAAAAAAATCCCCACTCATATTGACTTGTTCACACCATTGTAGCAATTGTTTAACGTAGTAACCTTTTGTCAATAAAATGGCTATAACTGTGAATCATAAGGTTCTCATGTTATTGAACATTGGAAGCCATACTGTACTGATCACAGTAGTGGGTCTGCGAACCAGTAGTAAACGCGTCCGATTTTCAGCTACTAGGTTTCAGAGTCGAGTCCCATTTCTGTTTGGACAACCGGATAATATCACTGGTTAGAAGCTGAATACACAAACCTGAATCTGGCAACTTAGTTAATTAACACGAGGTTACTATTATTGTTATCATCCTTGCTAATTTATCTGTCTACTCTTACATTTATAGCTAGATCTGTAAAATATAAGTCCTATCTTATTATTGTACGAACCTGTGCAGAAGTATCTAGGTATCTTAATACAACAGTAACATTTTTCTGTAGATTCCACATATTATACAAAGACTTTTCGTTCAACCGTAGTTTATTTGAAAAAAAGATTTAAGAAACCCTGAACATTTGGCAACAATAATAGAGACACGCTGATCAAACCTAGTGTCTTGCAAACAAAACGTTCCTTAATGGAAAGTAACAATCAGAAGAGAATATTGACAATACTCATGTTAGTCCCCGGTTTTCGCCGGGCTAAAACGGTGATGAAAACATCATGTTGAGGAGTCACTGTATTTTACAATGACCAACATTGCGTTGAAAAATATTTCTAGGTATTGAAAATCGTGACATTTCCGTAGACATTATAATAACACAGGCATTACATATCCGTCCAACTTCATAGCTTTCCAAATTTCGAGGCCCAAATATTATATATATATATATATATAACGGTTTTATCCAGGCAACTGAAAACCGCTAGAAGCCTGACCCAAACGTGTGTCAGTTCAAGTTCTCACTTTGGCACAGTAAACGGTAGAATACACAGAATGAGAATTATAGTAGAAGGGATATGAATTTGTATATCAAGTACGAATTTATATACCCTTATTCGCGTTCTACTTTATTCATATGGTAGTGATACTAGTATTTGGTTGCTTGAACTGAGTTAAGTGAAAAGGAGCATGGCCCAACTTCTCGTGTTTGAAAGTCGCTTGTTTTGACCTTCAAACCATCGCGCTACATAATCGTCGAATTTGTAACTTGATATTTTATTGGAAAGTAATTTTGTGCGTCTATTCTGAGTAAAGTTACCTCGTTAACATTGTAAAACTGTTGACAAGTCTTGTAACCATCATTGCGCAAACAATTACGATATCTTTTTGAATAATGAGATGAGGCTATAAACCTTGTTCGATGTCATTTTATAAAATAGGTGGTTTCAACGTTGAAATCTCGTTGTTTGTAGGTCATATGCGTCATAGATTGATCTCAGGGTACAATTAAAAACCAATAAGGACTGGAAATCCTGAGTTTGATCTCTGGAGCGGTGGTGAGCACTCAGTGCTGAAAAGTCCTATACTGTGGTCAAACAGCTTTCCAGTGCTCCTTCGTTTTCATAGGTACCTTACATCATTCTGTAATAAATTAGATCTGCCTCTTCGAATTCCCTTAAACTTCCTTTGTTTGTTAGTCATCATAATTATTACTAATTACGAAGGCTGTATAGGTACTCTAGTAAATTTTATCTTTTTCTTGAACATTTTTATTAGGCTAGCAATTCATTTTCTGCGCGCTCAAGTGAAAATGTCATACCGAAATTAACTAACAACCTATCTGTTTCAAAGAATAAACGGACAAGATCATTGCTGAAATACTGGAATAGTGTGTGGCAGGTTTTTTTAGTTCTATGTATATTTTTTAAATAAGCAACGTTACTGATTTATCACGTACCGACTCACTCACTGGAATTTGAGTCACATTTGGGGGTATTTAGTGAAGTTGTTAAAGTCCTCACTTAATACATGGGAAATACATAATGATATAAATCTACACTATACGTTGGTAGTTACGATACCACATGTACAGACAAACATTTTTACGAAGGCTTCTGCTCTATGGAAAATAGGAGTGGATACTTGTGTTTTGCCATTGGAACATCGTTAATATGGGGTCTAGAAATTATCATCATTCTGAATAATTTTGTTTTACGTAAATTCTTATTCCCGGATCTGATTATTTATATTTGTTTTATCTATTTTTATCTTCTTATATACCCAGTGCACTTATAAACGTAGAAATAAGTCGCATCTTAGTAGGCAAAAATTAATTGAAGCTGATATTGTTAGATAGTAACTGCAGCAGTTATTGCATTTTATTGTTGGATTGGTAAAAAATACAAGCGATGCTACTACTATTCATATATGAACAAATCTAAAATGATTTAACAAATTAAAAAACGGACGTCTGTGGTGGGTAACTAACTACCTTACACCTGACACGGTTTAGCCCCACTAGTCTCAGCTTCTTACCAGAACTCTGGGGATTTCCTCTCGAAGCTAGTCACTAGTGAGTGAGCGCATGATAATTGTCAGTATAGGGTTGTGGAGATTGTTGAGCTACCTTTGAAAACCTGGAAGTATTAGACGGCTGTTTCATCCTTGTATGGGACTCCTCATAAACGAGCATCCGCAAGTGGGAGTCAAACCCAAGACCTTCGGCGTCACACGTCTCTAATCTACTGACGGTGTTAATATCTAATTTCAATCAATCTACGACACTGCTCAACTATCTTCCATTGTCTTTGGTGGTTTGCTGCCTCACACACGGCCAATATACAGTGGCATCTCAATAATAAAGAATCGTGTACAAATACACAAAAAGAAGATTAGACGTTACAAGAGTTTTTATTTTCGTGATTTTTACATGACCATGAAAAAGATCAACCTTCAAGCATATTAGTGAATCATGTGGACTGATTTATAGTTGATTTCAAAATTCAGTTGATGCATCAACATAGCAATTTCGAGTAATGACAAATTCAATGTTTTTATTAAATGATCCTCCAAACAAGCCTTCATCAATTGTAATAAATACTGTATTATTTATACTGTGTTGCTTTCTCACTTCCTATTAACATGCTTGTTTTTATTCGCATTAATAATAAATAAGGTTTTGATCCTGAGCAAATCCATTACGGTGTACATCGCTCCCATTCACATAGACAACAGCAACGTATTTTCAGTCCTATGGCTAGTTTATGGAAAGCTATGCAAAATCAGAGTCAAATAATGGTTATGACTCGTGGTTTAAAAGAGCCTCGTGCTTCAATTATTGGCAATTTAATTGCTTTCGATCGTTATTGGAATTTAGTAAGTGAAATTTAATTAATTTTTTTAAATAAAAAAAACATGTACAATTTATCTGTTCTGCATAAATTTATGTCATAATCGGCTATTGTATAGAGACAATCCACATTTGATAAACATATATACCAAATAAAACTGATCATACTTCAGAATGGGTTTTGTGGAGATTTTTAGAAATTTCACTGGTTGAAATCATGAGTCAATTGAAGCTAGATAACCATGGAAAACCTGGAAGCACTGGACGGCCGTTTCGTCCTAGTATGGGACTCCTCAGCAGTGCGCACCCACTTCATTTAATATTACCAATAATGGAATATATTCCAAATTTAATTAATTTACAGTTTATTTTATTTCTTTATTTTTTAACTATATAATTTACATGTATTCCAACTACTTATCTTTAGAAACTATAGTCAATTTATATGTGAAAATTATATTTGAAATACTCTCAGCGATTGAAATTTAACTAATTCCAACGTTTCGTCCAGATAACTTGTCAAAATTTGATAATTTTGATTTTGATTATTACCCTGAAGAAGTCCAGACAAGTTGGCTGGACGAAACGTTGGAATTAGTTAAATTTCAATCGCTGAGAATATTTCAAATATAATTTTCACATATAATGACTTCTCTATACTCGGCGCTCAATTACTGTCAAACTATTCGTTCTAATCTTGACGAATATTCGTATATAGTCAATTTATCATGAAATTTGTATGATTGTCTTAACTTTAAGAAATATACATGTACAGCAACGAAAACAACTCATTTTGAATTGAAACAATACAAGTACTTTATAGTGGATTGAATACGTAGTTAAACCATGGGATACAATTACTTCCAGAGCTGATGATAAGTCCCAAATTGGACAAAATGCACGTCTTGAATTCCATTACTTGAATTGTTAGATCAGTTATTATAACATCATAAATATTATTATAAGTTATTAATTGAAATATTAATATATTGGGTTTGTGGAGAATATTTTGAATATTATAGTTTACATTAATTACTAACCTTTGTTATTGTCTCTAGCGTTTCTTAGTTTTGAATGGTTGTTTAACATAAGGTTAGTCCATGTTGTTAACTATAAAATTCAAAATAGTTCATGTTTTAACAATGTTACTTGTTTAAATCTTTGCAAATTTTCAATTTTGAACTGATAATTTCAAAGTATCATAATTTCCCACGTACATTTAAGTAATTATTATATTCTATATTTGGATAAAGAGACAATACTGTGAGAAATTAATCACAAGGCTATTTATGAACTGGCGAGTTTTAAGTTTATTTATTTATTCATTTAAATACATAAATATTGGCACAAAAAAGCACTAAAATATGTATAGGTCTTATCAGAATGGGGTTTATGTGGAGATTGTAGTAAGTAAATAGTTGAATTCATGAGTCAATTAAAGCTAGACCACCATGAAAAACCTGGAAGCACTGGATGTCTGTTCCGCCTTAGCATGGGACTCCTCAACAGTGCCCATCCACGATCCCGCTCGCGGGATTCGGACCCCGAACCTATCGGTTTCGTGCGCTAGCGCTTGACCTCTAGACCACTGAGCCGCTTGGCATCCAATAGTATTAATGTGTGGCGTCAACCAATCCACAAAATTGCGCCACCGTTTACCATTGTCTTCAGTGAGTTACTATCACACAACAGACCCGGCTGAACTCCACTTGTCACGGCTTCTCGCTATATATTACTTACTTACTTACTTACTTATGCTTGTTACTCCCAATGGAGCATAGACCACCGACCAGCATTCTCCAACCCACTCTGTCCTGAGCCTTCTTTTCTAGTTCCACCCAATTCTTGTTCATTTTTCTCATGTCTATTTCCATTTCTCGGCGTAATGTGTTCTTCGGTCTTCCTCTCCTTCCTTGACCTTCAGGATTCCATGTGAGGGCTTGTCTTGTGACGCAGTTCGGTGCTTTCCTCAATGTGTGTCCTATACACTTTCAGCGCTTCTTCTTGATTTGTTTTTCCACTGGGATCTGGTTTGTTCTTTCCCACAGTAGGTTGTTGCTAATAGTGTCTGGCCAGCGGACCCGAAGTATTTTGCGTAGACAACTGTTAATAAACACATGTATCTTCTGGATGATGACTTTCGTAGTCCTCCATGTTTCCGCCCCATACAGTAGAACTGTCTTGACATTTGTATTGAAAATTCCGACCTTGGTGTTGGTTGACAATTGTTTTGATTTTCAGATGTTCTTCAGTTGTAAATATGCTGCTCTCGCTTTACCGATCCGTCCTTTCACATCTACATCAGATCCACCATGTTCATCAATGATGCTGCCCAAATATGTAGAGGTTTTTAACATACCTCAAATCTTCGTCGATTGTGGTTATATTGGTGCATGCCGTGTTGTATCGGAGAATCCTGCCTTTCCCTTTGTGTATATTGAGACCTACTGCTGCTGAGGCTGCTGCCACACTGTTCATCTTCTCCTGCATTTGTTGTTGCATTTGGGATAGAAGGGCCAGATCATTTGCGAAGTCTAGATCGTCCAACTGCATCTTGGATGTCCACTGTATCCCGTGCTTCCCTTCAGATGTTGACGTCTTATGATCCAGTCGATCACCAGGAGAAAGAGAAAGGGTGAGAGTAAGCAATTTTGCCTAACACCGGTCTTCACTTCGAACGAGTCTGTGACTTGTCCTCCATACACGATTCTGCAATATGATCCATCATAGGAATTCTGTATGGTATTGGCTATCTTCCGGAGCACGCCGTAGTGTCGAGGAAGCTTCCATAGTGTTGTTCTGCCCACGCTATCAAATGCTTTTTCGTAGTCAATGAAGTTGATGTAGAGCGATGAATTCCATTCAATTGATTGTTCTACAATGATCCGTAGAGTTGTGATTTGGTCTGTACAAGATCTATCTTTACGGAATCTTGCCTGTTGGTCTCGAAGTTGGGCGTCTACGGAGTCCTTCATTCTGTTTAACAATACCCTGTTGAAGACTCCTCCTGGTATTGAGAGAAGAGTGATGCCCCTCTCGTTATCGCAGTTGCTGAGATAGTCTTTCTTTGGTATTTTGACCAGAAGTCCGTCTTTCCATTCTTTTGTTACATGTTCCTCATCCCAAATCTTATTGAAGAGAATGTGGAATATCATTGCAGTTGCCGCTACGTCTGCTTTCAGTGCCTCTGCTGGAATGTTGTCTGATCCTGCTGCTTTGCCGTTCTTAATTTTTCTGATGGCCATGTTGATTTCTTCAATTGTTGGTGGGCCAACATCGATTGGGAGGTCCGTGGTTGCTACTGCGATATTGGGTGGGTTCAGCGGGGCTGGTTGATTCAAGAGTTCTTTGAAGTGTTCTACCCACCTGTTTTGTTGCTCTTCAATGTTGGTGATTACCTCGCCTTCCTTGCTTTTCACTGGTCGTTCTGGTTTACGGTAATTTCTAGAGAGTTTATTTGTTGTGTCATACAGTTGTCTCATGTTTCCTTCACTTTCAACCTTTTCCGCCGTCATTGCTAAATCTTCCACATATTCACGTTTGTCAGTTCTGATGCTCCTCTTTACTTACTTGTTTACTTCTGTGTATTCAGCTTGTGTCTTGGCTTTTTCTGCTGGTATTTATTGATGCCTTCTTGTTCCTCCTTTCTTGAATCATATCCATTGTATCAGCAGTGATCCATTCCTTGTGATAGTGCTTCTTGTGGCCCAGAACCTCATGACATTTTGAAGTGATTGCCTCTTTGATCCCCTTCCAGTTGCTCTCCATAGTAGTTCCCTCTCCATTGAGTAGATCATGAAAGGCCTGGAATCTATTACTGAGGACTATCTTGAATTTGTTGAGTTTGTTAGTAACCCGAAGAAAGGCCGTATTAAAATTTTGTGATGTCCGCCCCATTGTCCAGTGCTTTTTAAGTTTCAATTTCATCTTGGCTATCAGCAAGTGATGATCTTATGCTATATCAGCTCCTCTCCTGGTTCTCACATCCTCCATTGTCATCCTGAACTTTTTGTTGATGCAGATATGGTCGATTTGGATTTGCGTAGTGTGATGCGGTGAAGTCCATGTGCTTTTGTGAATGCGCTTATGTGGGAATATGGTGCCGCCTATGACCAGTTTATTGAAGGCTCATAGGTTTGCAAATCTCTCACCATTTTCGTTCCTTTCTCCCAGTCCATGTCGTCTCATGGTGTATTCATACCCGGTGTTGTTCATTCCAACCTTGGCATTTAAATCTCCCATCAGAATGGTCAGGTCTTTTGTTGGGCACTTCTCGACGATTGACTGCAGCCTATTGTAGAATTGATCTTTAACGTCTTCACTGTAGTCGTTGGTAGGTGCATAGCATTGGATGACGTTCATTGAAATGCCCTCTTTCTTTGTTTTGAAGGAGGCTTTAATGATCCTTGGTTCATGAGATTCCCATCCTATAAGTGCATTTTGTGCTTGTTTGGAAATCATTAATGCAACTTCTTGTGTATGTGGGGCATTTTCTTCTTCATGGCCGGAGTATAACAGGAGCTCTCCTGTAGTTAGTCGTTGTTGTCCAACTTGTGTCCAATGTGTTTCACTGATCCCAAGTACCTCTAGGTTGTATCTCCTCATTTATGCGGCAATTTGTAAATTCTCCCGGTCTCCGACATTTTACGAGCATTCCATGTACCTAAATAAATGGTTGCTCTGGTTGTTAGAAGGGGCATCGACCTCGTGACTTCCAAAGGAACGCGGCTTTCACTATGAGGCGTCATAACTCTTCTAAATGAAGACCTTCTGACTCCCAGGGCAGAGTTTAAATGGTTTGAATTATTTTTCTTGTCAGCGTTTTTTAGCGAGTTAGTTTTCTACGGGATGGGGTCGCTAACCCCATGCCCGACCCTCCTCTTTTATCTGGGCTTGGGACCAGCAGTAGTCCCTGGAGAGGCTCCAGGAGGAGTTCACTATATATGTATATATATAGTACTACTCAATGACCGATCAGTTATTTTATACATATATATCAATCAATCGTGTATCATCGATATTCTTATTTTTCATTGTTTTCTTAATATCTTTAGATTCTAAAGAATGTGACTGAATATTCTGTTCATCTTCCGAAATCAGCTTTGAAAGGTGTAGGTTTTGTTTGTTCCTATAAATCATTTTGATTTTTACATTTATTTCACCACGTTCACATATCTATACTCACAGTTTTAGGCATTAATTTAATTCCCCTAGTTTGAATACAAGAGAGCAATTTAGAAAATTTTGTTGATCAATATACCTAGTTGGATCACATGTATTTACATAAATATAGTTCTAATTGCTAGACAGAAATATAAGCACTGGTAGTATTCATTTCGTTATTAAGATTCAAATGTATAATGAATATGATACCAAATGTTTAACTGTGATTTTGATCATTAGATTCCGGTTGATGTAAATCGGTGTCCAGACTAATCAGTCATATTACCCAGTGATATGGAGAGCCAATCAGTCGATGGCAGTCCGAAGTGACCTTATGGATAAGCGCATTTTATTGGCTAAGAAGTGGATCAATTTACGAAAAATTAGAGTGGTATATATGAATGAGTATTTGTGCATTTTATCCGATAGTTCAATACACTTTCACATTCACTGTTGTGTTCTCGCTCAGGTAGTCGGGGAGGAGCAGCGCGTGGCATATAGGGTACCAGTATCAAATTTCGGACACCGTCCATCACAACACTCAGCATTATATTTTATCAGTTAACAAAACTTCTTTATTAACAAACCTTGCTTGATGCCATTCAATGGTAATTAATCTAAAATCTGGCTCGTATATATCGGTTCAAGTTTTCATTCTACATCAACACAGTGAGATGAAATCATTGAGGTGAATCTAAAACTATTCGAAGTAGTAATGCTATCCGGTGTAGTAGAAAAGATTCGGTATAGATGTTGTTATTCATGAAGAAAGAATAAATTAGCTTTGCAAAATGTATGAAATAATAAGGGAAGATTGAGTGAATACATCTACTCTTTTACCGATTCTGATGTATATTACTCAAAACATGGAAGATTTCATTGATTATTTCAACAAATTTTCTCCTGTATAATATCAACTGTTTAACTTAATATCATAGGTTTTGTATTAGAATTACAGTTTAACTTGCACTTATATCTTAGATACTTCACCTTAATGATTTCCTATATCGTTTAAAGTGTGAACTTAAAGTATTTCTTTTAATTCGACTTTAAATCATAAGGGCACATACATAAACCTTGTTCCATTTACTTTATTGTAAACAACTGAATAATATCTATAAAATTCACACTGTTTAAGCATAAACCTAAGTAAATATATCTGTAGTCGATTAATCATAATAAAATAATTCTTAGGCTTGAACAATAGCTAGAAAATAAAAACTAACTTATTCATATATTAATAGTTGAAATCCTGAGTAAATTGAAGCTAGACCACCATGGAAAACCTGGAAGCACTGGACGGTCATGATGGTCTAGTGTCACTTGACTCATAACACCAACTATTAAAATTACTATAATATCCACAAAACCCCTTCAACTATTATTCTTATTTATTTAACAATAAAATAATCACAATAAATAATAAATAGGATTAGATTCAATGTAGATCAAAGCTGATACAAGTAGATATTAAATTCAGGTCAAAATAGTTTGGAGATGGAATCTAACCATACTAAGGAAGTACTAACAAAAGAGTTTCATAATAGACTAAAATAAATGTTAACAGTGACTCTCTCTCTCTCATAGAAGTAAGTAGAGAAAAGACTAGCGATTCATAGTATAAGTTCATGAACTTACTAATTATTGAACCTTAACATTGATTATGAATACAGTGGTCTCGAGTGCTGTTAGAGGTATGAGGGCGGTTATCACTTCCCGGTCGCCCACACCGAGGAAGGGTTCTTCTGGAGGTACCTGAAAAGGAAATTGGATTAGAGGTGGTCTCAGTGACCTGAGAGCGTGTCCGCAGTGCCCAAGGGACAACTGCTTGAGGCCGGTCGCGCACGGCCTTTTCGTGGGAGGTTTTTGACGTGTTAGCTTCGTTCTTCAAAGGGCCTTACCGCCGGAGACGGATATCCGTGGGACAAGACGAGGTGTGCATTTTTAGGGTCGACATTTTCTAACCCCACCCCTCCTTGTGGGAAGGCAGCATCGCTGTCATTCTGGTTGTCCGAGGGAAAAACCTTACTGCTGTCACACCTCTGTACAGTCAGCAGTACGACTTCGCCTTCGGACCTTGGGTTTGTTGCTTTTAGTCTTACCGCTCTTCAACCGACCTGTCTGACATGGTAGGACCTTGAGGAACGGTTGTTCCAGCCAGTATAGCTCGGTTGCTTCATCACGATAGGCAAGCCCGACCACCACGTCAAGGTAGCAACAACGGTCGGGGACCCTTAACATGTTGCTAGGTGAATACTTCCTGCATAAGTTTCATACAATTGGAAACTTTCAATGACTTGTCTTAAAATTTTATCATGTAATATTAATTACTATCTTGTTAATATTCTTTTTCAGAGTTCAGATAAAAATATAACAAAATCAGTCTATGAATATTCGTACTAAGGTTCTAGTTTTTTGTTTTTACTAACTGATGAAATTGTGTTTTGTAACTCATCAAATGCATATTCGTACACTTGGTTTCAAGTTATACTTTTAATGTAAAGTCTAGTTATACTACCCGGTTGTCCAAACTGAAAAGGCAGAATGAAGTTAAAACTTTGAATCTACTGATTGAAAGTCGAATACATTTTAACCATTAAACTACAGTCTCACTGATTAAATTGTTGCACGCTATTTTTTTTGTTAACTGTTAATGTGGTACAATCATACTTCAATAATAACAACAACACGCATATTTTTAATTAATTTAATGACGTAAATTTTAATTCGTTATAAAATTATATCTTAAATTGTTATAACGCTAAAAGTTTCCTCGTCTACACGAATGGGACGCTAATTTGCCTTAGACGAATATCTACACTAGATTCCCTCTCAGTGTCTATTCTACAGGACTTCAACATAACTCAGATCAAGAATATATGATTAGCCTGACTAGAACATAAATATATTTCCACACCAAAACCCGATAACAATCCGACAATCACAATAATAATAAGGATAGGAGAATATATAACTCATCTAACTCCTGTCAAACTATCTACAAATCTGACTAAGCAATTAACCAATCATTATCATTCTCGTCAACACATCATAGATATTCTTCTTAATTTGTTCTTGTAGAATGGAAAGCCGGGACGAAGTAAAAAGCGACGGGAACAACGTTTACGAAAGTTTCAACGAAATAATAACGCTTTATTTCAGTTGAAAAAATGTTCAAATTTATGCCATTCTCCATCTAATCAAACTAATGTTCAGCTGAAAGATAGTAAATATGTATTTTTGTAATATTTATGTTAAATGATTGAATTATATCATTTCTATCAGGTTATTTTTAATATGTATAGTTTCTTGTTAATTTATAATTCATTTTATTCATTTATTTATTCGAGTCCTCTCTCCCTCTCGAAATGCTCTCACATGGTCACGCGTATATAGCCTCTGCCAGGGAAGTTCTACTCACTGCCTTCTCGTGGCGGGGTTGTTGTTTACGAAAATGGGAGGACGAAAAGCGAATGTCCGGCGCTCTAACCGGATTTCAAACCAATGGTGCACATGAGCTCTAGTATCCTGCGGGAACAAATGGCGTATGAACCAATCGTTGGTCACCGGCTTTCATGGGACTGCATCTTCCTACGATGCTCCACTGCCTTGCGGATCAGACCCTCACACCCTCCGGGTGTGGCCTTCCAAGAAAACCACCTGGTTCGGTTTGGGCACCCGGGCAGTATCACAGCCCTCACACATATTGAATGATATTTGTGTGGCGCATATGTATTTGGTGCCTCCTTGTACCAATATCTATGTGTTAAAATAAATAAATAAATAAAACGTAGAACCTGGTATAAATATACATTAGTTCAGTTAGCTCTACCATACAAACATGATAAGATGAAATGAATGAGATAAACTACAAAGAAACTAAAATAATGTAACAGTAATAAAATAATGAAAAAGACAAAACATTGACATGATGAAATAAAGATGACATATATTAAGGAATATCTAGAAGATAAAGAGTGGATGTATTTGCATCTCAGTATGATCGATTTTAAGCCATATCGTCTAATGTCTAAAACCATTAGTTGGAATTATTTCATGGATCTCCATCACAGTAGTTTGAATCTACTAACCTGGCTCGAACCAACAGTTGTTGATCTTGTGAATAGATTCTATTTCTTAGTTTTGCTGTATGCAACATCTCTGTAAAGCACTAGTTAACTAACCAAATCTACTTTCATTTTAATTTGGTAACACATTAAGACTACAGTTTATTACATAAGTCACTGATCTTAGTCTCTAAAAACAATACCGAATAAGTGAATATCTTAAAAAAAATCAAATTATATGGTATAGACCAGATAAGAAATGTTGCTTATATTAATGTAGTGAATACTATGTCATTAATACAGTGTCAGAACACTGTGAATTTTAATGATTCACATTTGTTCAAGTTATAGTTAATAAACATAGTCTCTTTCCTAACAAAATACATTAAGCATATACGGTATTAAACTGGTGTCTTTTATATAATGATCCATATTGTGATTGAATATTTGTTAGTTTTCGATTTAATTCGAGCATTGAAATGTATTAAACTTAATTAAATGACACGTTTGTTAGTTATACATATGAAAAGACCTGGATTTACCTTATTCTATCAATCAGTAGACAAGTGGTCAGCTTTAATAACTAAAATAAACCACTAATTATCATTTAATGCTTAATTTTATAATCCGTGGAAAAGGTCGACTGAATGAAGAATATCAAATACTTGGGACCAAATTTAAATCATCAGAAAGTGTGGATTTCTGTGAAGGCTGCAAAGACTTATTTCCTTGATGAGTTTGAGTGAAGTTGCCCAAAAGTTAAGGTATCTGATCTTCAGCCACTAATTCTCAGATTCGAACCCCACTTTACCTACCTTATTCTCTTGCAACCGGGTAATATCATCAACCTTTGCACATTTTGGGTATGCCTGGACGCCAAGTACGCAAATCTGTACCTGGTAAATTAGTTAATAGTTAGTGATGAGTTTGAATATGAATTAACTGTGTTTAAAATCTTTTCTATGGAATTCATTTTTAAACACCTAATTCCAAGGTGTATTTCACTGTAAATATCTTGACATTTAGCCTAGTTAATGATTATAATCAATCTTAATTAAAAATCAGACGTATTTTTAATTATTAGTGAATAACCAAACTAAAATTGTTATTATAAGGGTTAGTGAAGATTACTGAATTTCGAGGTTTCACATCACAAACTGGCTTTGCTTAAGCAGACAGTAAAAGTTAGAAAACAATAGGAATCTGTTTCATCTCAGTATGGGACTCCTCAACAGTGTGTATCTACAATCTTTCGGGGGATCGAACTAAGGAGGACCTTCAGACCTTGAAGCAAGCTGTTAACGTTCAGGTCAATGAGTTGGTATCCTGTTGTTCTCATTCACAGCTTCAATCAACTTGCTGGACGGACAACTGATTGGAGCCAGTTATACTTAATCCTTTGTAAGCAGTGCTTGATACTCTTGCTTTCGACTCTTAGGGCGTTACTGCCGGTGATGGAAATCCATGGGGCAAAGTGAGGTGTCATATTTTTAGAGCCGATTATTCCTTACCCTCTCTTTTCGTTGTGGGGCGGTACCATCACTTCAGTTCACCAACCAATCTGTTACAAATTATATTTTACATCATTTTTGTGCCACTAACTTTGGTATGTGTCTTTATTTTTACGTCCTATAAATATTATTAGACCAACCATTAGAAATCGGACAATTATTTCCTGATCAGTATGGCGATCATGATCAAGATGGGATTGTGGAAAAAGAAGCACGTGATGATGAAATTAGTAGATTGAGACCTTTTCGTCTACTTGGTAAATCCCCCTTATCTGATACAAATGATCATGATGATCAGTCTGTCAAAAAATGTGATCAGATTGATAAAAGTGTTTTAGTGAATATTCATAATCATTTAGACGAGAATAATAATAATTGTTTTTATCATAAATCGTCAAATTGGACATCATCTATGGTTAATTTGAATGAACGAAATATGTCTGAATTGTCTGATATGTGAGTTTTATATCATGTAATTTTGGTTTTTTTCTTTCACATTTTACGTTTTAAAACGAAGTGTTCAAGTTAGACATTAACACCGTTAGATGCCGGCCAGCTCAGTGATCTAGAGGTTAAGCGCTCGGTAGTTCCTGAGTTCGAATCATGCGGGTGGGATCGTGGATGCTCACTGTTGAGGAGTTCCATACTAGGGCGAAACGGCTGTTCAGTGCTTCCAGGTTTTCCGTGATGGCCTAGCTTTAATTGACTCGTGATTTCAACTATTAAATTAATCGTATTTAGTGGTTTCGTTTGATAATATTTTTATGCTCAGGAATTTTACTCGTAGAGTAAATATGTAATTTTATCTTGAGAAATGCTTTGATAGAATATTAAGTTTCCATTCCACGGCTAGCAATAATACATTTATTCGGTCCAACTTGTGATAAAAATAGCTGTGTCGACGTAATCTGCGCAGTATATATATATATATATATATATATATATATATATATATATATATATATATATATATATATATATGCTGAAAACGCTGATCAAAGTCCAGTCCTGAACTTCACCGTTTTTATCTATAATATAAACGTCATATCCATTGAACAAGATGTAGCGGTAAATAAATCACCAAAATAAATAGTTCCGTGAGTTTTCGATCCCGACCTCATTAATTTTACTGGACACACTTAGCTAAAATCGCTCTGTCACACATCGACACCAGATCACGAGTGGGTACACGGTGATACTCATTCCTCGCAAATGCTAATCAACTTAGACTAAACGCTTCTCGATATATCGATAATCTTCCAAATATATTTTCTAACCTCTCCATTTCTGACTTCTGATTTCACTGAGTTGGTAAACTTCAATTATAAAGGTGTTATGTATGATGGCGTTGTCAAACTCCGAATTCCTGACGCATCTTTAAAGGTAATGGCGATATGAACTCAATAGATAGTGCTTTTAGTGTTAGAAATAAAAGGTGTTCAGTTCAAACTCCGATATGAAGATTGGCACCAATGAGTTCGAAATGAAATGAAACACACATCCTAAATTCTATTTCTAGCAACAATTTATATGTTAATCTCTAACTGTGTTTCCTAATTTTTATTCATTTTTATTTAAGTCATATGTGTATTATGATTAATTCTCAAATTTTCTTATTTCTTAGTGTTACTGGTATATATGAATTGTAGCTAAACACTGGAATTCAAAACTCATCATTTTTCATCCTGTTTGGTAACTAGTCAGTTGAGATGTAACCTTTGTTGAGTCTCAAATATGGTACTTAGTACTTAAAATATCAATGCCCTATGCATTAAGCTTTTTATTTAGTTAATTTTCTTTCCCATTTGTATTAATATCACCAAGTGTGATAACTTTATCTGATATATATTTGTACTAAAGTCACAATGAAATGATGCTGTTTAAGTGAGTTCATTCGAACATAATACCTCTAATAAAGTTGTTGATTTTAAATCACCTTAGATAATGAAATGACTTCATACAGTTAAAAAAAAGAATTTAAACCGTAAGTCATTTACGGAAAATAAGTTGATCACTTACACATAACTTATATATTTTACTGTTTGTGTGCATAATATAATTTCTAACATTTTTTCAACTAGTTAAGTTCATATACGTCGGGAGTTGTGGGACAATTGTCATTTATAAGTATATCGTAAATAGACTGAAGATAAAATCAGATCATTGGATACCAGTTCAGCGATCTTCATGATTAAGCATTCGCTGTATAACTTGAAGTTTCTGGGTTTGATCACTAATCAAATCGTGTGTTTTTGTTAAGAAATCCCATACTAACACATAATAATTGCATCATGTTTTGTGCTATTCATTGATACCCCCCATATAAGATGATCAGTCTATGATGAATACAATTTACAAATCAAATCAATCTTCACTACACCACTTCACCTTTTGTACTATTTTTCTTTTATTATCATTATCGTTAATTATCATTTATTTTATTATAGCTCACTTTGGTATAGTTTACAAACTCGTCGAAAACATCCTTTCACTGAAAAACAAGATAATCAACAAACTGAAAAAATTCACATTGATGATGATGATGACAACGAACAACAATTATTTATTCGTGGTGCTAATATCATTTTAGTACGAATTATTTCTGAGAATTAATTACAAAATTGAACGAAAGAATTGAAAGAATTCTCCGTCGTGTTTTTTGTTTGCTTTTCCATTCAATCTCATCCAATTTTAATTTTGAGTAAATGAATAAATATATATATATATATATATATATATATATATATATATATATATATATACATGCTAATAAATAAGTGGACTGTTCATCCTTATCTTCCTGAGTTTTACTCTGTACTGAGACTGACATTATATGGTATACAATAAAAACCTAATAAAGCATGAACATGGAGAAATAAATTAAATATCAAGTATATAAAACAAAGACCTTTGAAACTGGTTCCAAGTGAAAAGTCAATACTACTCATCCTTGTGGTTGGGCTATGCTGCAGTATATGAATTTTCAAAGACCAAAATAGGGTCATACAGGCAGAATAGTATATTCATTGCAAGGATGAAAGAAGTATGTATAGAGATCACGCCCACACAACCCACCCTTGTCGTCACGATCACCAATTTTGACTGCTAATTTTCGTCGATTCAACGTTCATAGCAATCCTCCAAGTCACTATACATTTATCTTAGAAGACCATGTGGTTACGAATCAGTGTTGTTACAATGCAGCATTAATAAGAACGGGAAACAAGTCAGTTGAGAGAGAGAAATTTCTAGTTTTTATTCTCGATGGGTTACAGAAGAACGAGCCGAGATGGCTGATACGGATATGTGAAATTCATATGACACCGTACATCAAGGATGTAACATCTAAAGTTAAACCCCCAGTCGTGTTAATAAGCTTGTATGATTAGTTCTTGTCTCATTTTGTTTAATTGCATGCCCATCCATCTCTCTGTTGCTCATATATAATTGTTGTTTATATTTAAGTACTTGAAACACACCGGGCAACTGATGCACCGAACAGTGTGGACTCATGTCATTACAGTGCACCCTAAAATTGTCTAAGTAAATCCCTAAGTTATTCCATTACATCACAATTGCCATGTCAGGTGGCTAGCAAAGCTTCGTCAAAAGCAACCAGAGATCTGTAACTGTACTATAACAATGAGAACGAGACATGGATTGACCATCTAGTTCAAAAAGGATTTAGGAGTCATCGTAAGCCAATACTTAAAAACTACTACACACTGCCGTGCAATAGCCGCTAAACGTTTTTCAACTTTATGGTCAATGCTTACGTCCCTTAGTCATGTCGACACTTAAATTTTTTGACTTTGTATACAGTGTTTGTGTGTCCTAAACTTGAGTACTGCATACAAGCGGCTAGCCCCTGTCCAAAAAAACAGTGAGCTTTAGGAAACGTTTCAGAGAACAACAACTAACCTGATTTCCGGAATAGTGCAGCTCCCGTATGATGCTCGACTGGCCATGCTAAACCTATTATCGTTTTCATATCGAAGAACTAGAGGTGATTTGATTGCGGTTTTCAAATTACTTAGCAATAAATTTGCACCTGATATGCGCTCATCTTTCTTGTTTTCCAAGATAGAGAATTTACGAGGACAATTCAAAAAAGTTCATTAGCCCAGGACAAATTATTTTTCAGCTGAAAATAGACTTTCTCATCGAAACAACGAGTGTAATTCATTAACTCAGCACGTAGTTGAGGCTCCATCCGTCGACTCGTTCGAAAGAAATTCGGATAAACTGAGAGACCATCACTGTCAGGATTAACACTCTAGTACATATACTACTCATTCTCATCAGTCCCCCGTAACCTAAATCTATTCCACATTTTTCTTCTCTTGTGGAGAAGGATGCGGACTTCCCTAATGAATCATGAACCGGTTTTGCTAAAGAGTTTGAAAGCTGCGGGCGTCAAATTTGTACAAACTTTGTGGTACACGCCTTTGCACTCATTGCACTTTATGCCGCTTTAAATGGAATATCGACCGCTCGAACGTTGACAATTGCATTTCTTGCACTATCCAGTCATTGCACAGAGGTTCTCAAGAAGAAACAAAATACAATAGCACCCAGGGACAAAGTTGATCTATGACCAGAAAAAGTGGAAAACTGCAAACTGTTAGAAACAAAATTACTAACAAATGAAATAGAAAACAAAGTACTCGAATGTACAGACGATAAACTACTTAAGGATAAAAAACGATCATCTTTTCGGATAGTTTGGCTAAAATAACCTCAATTAAAGTGAGAACTAAGCTAGAGAACTGCGTCCAGGCTGCAAGCCTCTGCTTAAAAGGTGACTCGGACATACTAGAAAAAGTACAGAGGGCAGCTACCCGTGCAATTCCGGAATTTTGGGGTTTTTCATATAAAGAGCGGCTTGAAAAACTGCACCTCTTTATTCTGTCCTATCGCAGACTAAGGGAAGATCTAATTTTGATGTACAGAATACTGAGAAATGATTTCAGACCTGACTTATTCTCTCTCTTCCTTCACACTAGATCGGGACACTCCAGAGAACATAGCAGGCCAGTAGAAAAGCCAAGAACGAACAAAAAGCCCGTGGTATACAGGTTTTCACACCAAGTCCTCAATACTTGGAACCTGGTGCCTGAAGCAGTGGTGTCCGCACCTTCAACTGACTCCTTCAAGAGAAGGCTGCACACTCACAGAAGCATACCAGAAAAGGAATAACATAGGCCGTAGCCCTTCTGTCCTTACAACTCAAATCTGAATTTGAATCTAATACTGACACGTAATCAACGATCGGAACAACAGAATTAACTCAGTGAAGAAAAATACCAGTTTTTATTTAAGCTACTGTCCCCCCAAAATCAATTGAAACTCTTATAGTGTGTGGTCTTGATGAGCAATGTTTGTGTCACAGTTTCGTTTATTTCAGCGAATAGCTAACCAAAGTGACCAACTGAATAAGTGTTAAAACAAGTCAATCACCCTTCAAATTCTAACCGCAAAATCCGAAACCACCGATAACCTTGAGGACTGCAACGATATGAATATTAGTTTCATGTCCGCGGTATTATGTGGGTTTCGACGCGCGTGCTTAATTGCAAACTATTCAACCATATCTAAGACTTTTGTAGCATCAACAAAATGTTTAGTCACCCCATTTAAAACATTTTCACTACCCATTCCCTGCAGATTCTATGGGCATGGTGTACCATTAACCAAAACAATGATCGAAGATCGAGTGATGCTCGTGTTAAGACTCTACGATAAAATCGATCCGTACAAAGTTGGTTTACTTAGTATCCCCCAACAAGTTATAGATAACACTAAATTCTAGATTCAATGAAGACTTTGGAATAGACAGTTTAGATCATGTAGAGCTTGTCATGGCAATAGAAGAAGAGTTCGGTAAGGTTTTTGATTTAATAATCTTCAGGTATTGAAATTCCCGATATGGATTCTCAACGTTTTTTCTCGCCTCAAGATATCATCCAATATCTATGTGATCGGCACGATATCTATGATTAGTGGTGATAGTTCCAAACACTTGTTTGATGTAATTAGTATCAGTATTCAAAATAAACCTTGATGCACACATAGTTTTTTTCTGTTTGTTTTTTGCTTCTGTTTTAATTCACAAACTCTTGGTTTAGGTGTTCTGATTGACGGTGATGTCTTCGCAATCTGAAGATGACGAGTTGCCATTCGATATCGATGAAGTAAGTCTTTCATAACTCAGTCCTTGTGTTCGTCATTCCAGTCTTAGCTTTCCTACAACACCGATTTAATGTACTAATAAGTCGATTGTTTCATCCATTAGAAAGAGTAAATCATCATGATATGATTAAAAACAACTTGGAGTTTTACTGACATCAGTGCAGTGATAATAAGTGTTGTTTAGCATTACACATGAATAGTTCCAAAATTTAGTGTTGGTAGATTCGGGTAAAATACAATGAATATTGTAGCACATGGAAGAATTTTGTGATCTTTGAATGAACAATTTCTATGAAATTTGGACTTCAAATGAGTGTCTTAACATGTATTTGCTCTAGATATTGGCAACAGATGATATTTAATAGAATGTTTTCTATCTGACCTTCCAAAAATTATCAGTTACGTAATATCTCTAGACACTTGGTTGGTGACAGTTAAAACCTTACTTATTGAACTTTAAACATATTTTAATGCTTTTTTACTATTTTATGTGCTAGTTATCCTTTTTGTATCCTGTTAAATCAGTTCACAATGAGTTCGTTATTATAAATTCTTGACAATATACTAAGAGTTTAATTTTTATGAAATTTGTGGAGTTACTGTATTTGCAGCTTACTGGTCATCTGTATTCACTGATACACAATTAATTCGTTCAAACACCTAGTTATTTTTACACTTGGGATAATTCCAATAATGCGTTTCACTATGAGAGTTGTTTATCCGTTTACTGGTGTGTAAATATTACTGTGCAATTTTTACAATCATTGACTATTAAGCTTAATTAACGAGCGTTTATAAAATCACCTTATAGCCTCACTTTTGTTCACTACCTCTACCACTACGGGATTTGAATCGACAACTGCACCTCTGTGCGAATGTGGTATGGCAACTCGAACTGATGTATGTACGTACGAAGTTCTACGTTGTTCAAAAAAATTATCCCCAAATTTCTGATGACCCGATGGCCAGTTCTCGTGGACCGGCAGGTGTAGGCATTGCACTAAGCGTGAGGGCCAAACAAGCACTGCTAGAGTGGATCCCCGTCAACAGTCGTTTATGTGCTGTTCGGCTAAACGGCTACGTAAGAACTCGGAAGGATAGGGACACACGTCGTTGCCTTTTTGTCGTTTCTGCCTACGCTCCCACTGACTGCAGCTCAGATGAAGTGAAAGATGAATTTTACAGAAAGCTGTCCGAACTTCTACAGAAAGCTAAACGCTTAGACATAGTACTCGTAGGGGTCGACTTTAATGCATAAGGAGAGACATCGTCCAACATGGTGACCCCCTACACCAAATCAACGATGGACTCAAATAGACCATATTGCCATCAGTCATCGTTGGAGAGGGTCGGTAGAAGATTGTCGCTCATTCTGGAGTACCTGCTTGGACTCCGATCCCGCCCTAATACGGGCACGCATCTGCTTGTGCCTCACTGGACGCAAAAAAGCCACATTAAAAAGACCCATTAGAACTGAGTTGATTAACGAGAAAACCAAAAGTAGGTTCCAGGAACAACTGAGGTCACAATTAGGTAGTTCTGAAGACGAGGCTGACCCAGATGTTGCTTGGAAAGACATACAAGCAACTGTGGAAACAGCAGTGACATCTATCAGTGATTTAAACCAGAGAGTTACAAAGAACCAGTGGATTTCTTCAAGGTCTATCACACTGATGGATTCTTCCAAACTCGTCCCATCAGGTTCCGAACATGATGGAGAGCGACAACAAATCAGATCTAGGTTAAGAAAAAGTCTAAGAAACGACCGTGAGCAGTGGTGGGCAATGAAAGCAAAAGAGATGGAAAAGGCGGCGACTGTAGGGAACACAAGACAGCTTTACAGACTAATAAAAGAAACTGGAATTAATAAGTCAAGTGTAAGTGAGATTATATCGGAAAAAGACGATACTCTCATCTGCTCCCAGTCCAGACGTTTAGAACGATGAGCGGGACATTTCAGAGAACAGTTCAACTGGCCTTCAGCTACTCTACAACTACCCTCCATTCCCAGGCAATGTGAATGGAACATTGAAGTAGGTCCCCCAACTCTTGCTGAAGTTGAGAAGGCTATAATTAATCTGAAACGAGAAAAGGCAGCTGGTCCAGATTGATTGGCTCCAGAGGTCTTTAAGGATGGTGGTCCAATTTTAGCGATTAGGTTGACTAATATTTTAGCTAAGATCTGTCAGTCAGACGTTATCCCATCTGACTGGTCGCAATCACTTATCGTCCCAATATATAAGAGAGAGTCAAAATCATCCTGTGACAACCACAGAGGGATTAGTTTAACAAATATAGTATCTAAAATACTAGCCTCGATAATTATCAGACGCCTAACTAAGACTCGTGAACTGCAAACACGAGAGAACCAAGCTGGCTTCAAACCTGGTCGTGGCTGCATCGACCGCATATTCACCATTCGTCAGGTTCTAGAACACAGGCATACTTATCGGCGTCCGACAATGGTGGTCTTTCTTGACTTAAAAGCAGCATTTGACTCTGTAGACCGCGAGATTCTGTGGCAGTGTCTGTCATTGAAAGGCGTACCACAGAAGTACATAAACCTTGTAAAGGCTCTTTACTGGAACACTACTGGTCGAGTCAGAGCTTATGGCGAACTGTCATCTACTTTTGCAACCTCAAGTGGTGTCCGTCAAGGCTGTCCACTTCCCCCATTTTTGTTTAACTTCATCATAGATCTACTGATGGAAATAACTTTCTCGTCGACCGAGTTCTCGGGTATTGATCTCCATCCAGGAGGTCCACTTATCAACTTAGAATACGCAGATGACATAGTCCTGTTTGGTGAAGACGCTGACAAAATGCAGAGTCTTTTGGTAGCACTGAGCAACAATGCCAGAATGTTTGGAATGCGCTTCTCTCCCTCTAAATGCAAGTTGTTGCTTCAGGACTGGTCTGCGTCAACACCTGAACTAAGGATAGGGAGTGAAGTAGTCGAACGTGTTGACAACTTCACTTATCTTGGAAGTCTGATCAGCCCTAATGGGTTGGTGTCTGACGAAATCTCAGCACGGATTCGAAAAGCTCGTTTGGCTTTTGCCAACTTACGTCACCTGTGGCGAAGGCGAGATATCCGTCTATCAATTAAGGGACGAGTATATTGCACAGCAGTTCGTCCTGTTCTACTTTACGGCTGCGAAACATGGCCATTAAGAGTAGAAGACACCCGTAAGCTACTAATGTTGTGGCCCTTTTGATCTGACTCCATTTAGTGTGTACGAATGATTGTTATCACCTATTCTCGTATATCATCGTCGACTTAGATCGCGTTAGTCCATAACGGAATTAAATAAGTCAATTAACGAGAATGGCATTTGAATACATATATTTTGTATATGAAGTGAATGAAACAGAGCCAAGCAAAATGACGCACAGGGAGGATGGCTGTGAAGCCAACTCCCTGTGCGTCATTTTGCTTGGCTCTGTTTCATTCACTTCATATACAAAATATATGTATTCAAATGCCATTCTCGTTAATTGACTTATTTAATTCCGTTATGGACTAACGCGATCTAAGTCGACGATGATATACGAGAATAGGTGATAACAATCATTCGTACACACTAAATGGAGTCAGATCAAAAGGGCCACAACATTGGAATGTATATGGGCTTGGCATAATAACTGACACTACACTAATATTTGACCACAGATGCCTTAGAAACATTGCTGGCGTCTGCTGGGATCACCGGGTAAGTAATAGTGAGGTTAAACGCAGGCTATTAGGGAATGATAGTAAATCACTTGATGAGTTTGTTAATCTTCATCAACTGAAAGGGTTGGGTCACGTGTTACGTATGCCCGAACACCGATTACCACGTCGTGCAATGCTAACCGGTGTTGGAGATGGTTGGAAGAAGGTTATGGGCGGCCAAACCAAGACTTGGCATCAGTGCTTGAAGTCACTAACTTCTAGTCTGAGCCATGTTGGTAGATGCAGACTACTTTGTTGGGGTCCGCGTGACTATCGTAACCAATGGTTGGAGACTCTTGGTGACATGGCTCAGAATAGATCACAGTGGCGTAGGAGTATACACTATCTGTCTTCTCTTAAACTAAGAGATTAAAATTGCTTCATATCTTTCTTTCTACAAACTAATTTTTTCTTCCTGTATTGTATCCTTATTGCCATCTTTCTTTTATATATTACCACCTCTGAATTAACCACTTATATGAATCCGGTGTCCATCTTGATGTGTTAATGAGGTATGGCAACTTGGATCGATGCATATATGTGCCTGGTCCTACGTTGTAGCTGACTGACTGACTGGTAAGATAAATGTGAACACCATTGTCCAATATTTACGTGGTTGGTTTTCAACTGTCTATCCTGTTGGTGATTAGCGTGAAACTGAATTACAATGCATATATGCACTGAAGTAATGGTGGAAACTCCGGAAATAATCCAAGTTTGTACTATGATCACAATCTAACCAATGTGATTTACCACAAATATAATTACGCCTGTTACTCCTCGTGGAGAAGCATGGAACTCCCACCAGCATTCTTCATCAAACTCTGTCCTATGCACTTGTTTCCAGTTGCTTTACAACCCTTTCATGTCTACTTCCAATTATCGGCACAGTCTGTTCTTTCGTTCTCCGTTTTTCCTTTTACCTTCAGCATTCAAAGTTAGCGCTTCCTTCGTACTTTTGAGGATTCCCGCAACTTATGTTCTGTCAACCTTCGTCGTCCTTTACTTATCTCTTCTTCAACTGGGAAGTGGTTTGTTCTCTCCCACAGGAGGCTGTTGCTGATGGTATCCGGTCATCGGAAAATGGGTATCTTGCGTAGACAATTGTTTGTAAATACTTGTACTTTTTTGATTATAGTTGTGGTGGTTCCCCGAGTTCCAGTAGAATTGTTTTGACGTTCACATTAAAAATCCTGACTTTCATATTTGTTGACAAATGTTTCAAGTTCCACATGTTCTTCAACAGTAGAAATTCTTCCATTACTTTGCCAGTCTCCGCCTTTACATCTGCATCCTACCCTCCTTATTTATCGATGATGCTGCCCAGGTACGTGAAAGATTCCACATCTTCCAGAGTTTCTTCATCAAGTGAGATTGGGTTGGCGCTCTCCATGTTGTATTTTAGGATCTTACTTTTTCCTTTGTTTATGTTGAGGCCTACTGATGTAGAGGCTGTTGCTACACTGGTTGTCTTGACTTGGATTTATTTGTGTGTATGGGATAGAAGTTCTAGATTATCTACGAAGTCCAAATCGTCTAGTTGCATCCAAGATGTCCATTGTATTTCATGCTTCTCAGATGTGGAGGTTTTCATAATCCAGTCAGCCACCAGAAGAAAAAGAAGGGACGTGAGTAAACAGCCTTCTCTGACAGCGGTCTTCGCTTGGAATGCGTCTATCAACAGTCCTTCATGGACGACTTTGCACTGTTGTCTGTATACGAATTCCGCATGATGTTGACGATTTTCTCAGGTACACCATAGTCTCGAAGATGGTTCCATAAGGTTCTCGTATCTACACCGTCAAATGCTTTCTTTTAATCAAGGAAGCTGATGTATAGTGACGAGTTCCATTCAATTGATTGTTGAACAATGATCCGTAGTGTCTCTAATCGGTCTGTGTACGGCCGATCCTTACGGAATCCAGCTTGTTGATCTTGAAGGTGGGTGTCTACTGAGTTTTTCATCGGGTTCAACAACACTCAGTTGAAAACCCTTACTGGTACTAACTGTAGTGTGATGCCTCTGTAGTTCTCTCACTTACTCAGATCTCCTTTCTTTGGTATCTTGATAAGGTATCCTTCTTTCCATTCTGTTGGCACCTGTTCCTTCTCCCAAATCTTCCTGAATTAAACATAGACTATCTTTGCAGTTACTTCTACATCTGACTTTAGTGCTTTGGCAAGTAGACTTCAATATTTAACACATTGATACTTCCACTAACTTAGTCGAATAGTGGTTCCTAAATACATGCATTTTCTGTAGGAATATAATTGTTGTCTACAATCAAATGGGAAAAATAAATGGTTGTTCGTATTAAATGATTGAAATGAAGGATTTCAGTGATAAAATTAATCCCATCTTCTTGTCTTTATATTCGTTCATTTATTTACATAATTAAACTAAATGAATATTATAGTGATTCATTGTGTGGCGCATATATACTCGGCGCACTCCTGTACCAATATATATGTGTTCAAATAAATAAATATAGTGATTCATTAACTAAATCCAGATCTACCGTTAAATTAAAATATTCACTAAATGATTTCATACTATATTCAGTTATTGTTGGCAATTGATGTGAGTTAGCATATGTAACATGTCTAGTTTCACGTTAAGCTTCATTAGATTAAAACAGTTTACTTTAAAAATGAGTCAATAAAGGAAACTATAAGTATATATATATATATAGTGTTCTGTATCGTATCACCAAAGTTTAGTAAGATATACACCATCATCAAACACAGTCTCATTGAATCTTAAGCATATGTAGTGCAAAAATTACATCAAATAATACTCTTCATTGTCAAAAATTAACTTAGTAAAAATTATAAACTTACTTGTATGTCTAGGTGATGGCTGCCAAACGTAATAATCCTGGTATGTTTGTCAGTGCTTGGCAGGCAGATGAAAATGATATTAATCTGTGGACAAATGATCAAATAAAAGGTATGGAGTGTTTCATTGATTTATGCCTTTGGTTCTTTACGATGTAGTTTCTCTTTAGATAACAGTGAGCTTTTCTGTATTGACGTGAAGTTTACATGTAGATTTCTGTTACGTTGATAACAGTGAACTTGCTTATTGTATAGTACATTCAGTGAATTCGGGTAGCTGTTGCTTCACGTTTTGCCATACCGCGGAAGTAATCCTTTTCGAAGTGTCAGAAAAGAAGACTGAACTAGTAGTAGTGGTCCTGGAAACTCGGAAGTTTAAATAGAAACCTTAGAAAAGTTCTAGAGGCTAGTCGAAACAGGTCCATCCTCCTGCGAGGAGACCTATAGTCTATGTTATGGTCTCTAAACTGAATGACTTAGTTTGGAAGATTCGACTGTTCGTCTGAGTAACATTAGCACGTGATTCAAAGAGGACCAAGCGATTAGAATTTCTCCACAACTAAGAGCTTATTCTGTTGACCTGGAATTTATTCGGTTGTTTTCGACAATTGTAGATTCTTATGGATCAATGTTAGGGACCGACCGAAGCTGCTACCTTGACGCGGTGGTCGGGCTTGCCTATCGTAATGACCCAACCGAGCTATATTGGCTGGAACATATGTTCCTGTAGGTTCTACCATGCCAGGCAGGTCGATTGGAGAACGGTAAGACTAAAAGCAGCAACTCAAGGTCTGAGGGCGAAGCCGTACTGCTGACTGTAGAGGGGTGTGACAGCAGTAAGGTGTTTCCCTCGGACAACCGGCATGACGGCGATGCTGCCTTCCCACAAGGAGGGGTGGAGTTAGAAAAGGTCGACCCTAAAAATGTGACACCTCACCTTACCTCATGGATTTCCGTCTCCGGCGGTAAGGCCCTTTGAAGAACGAAGCTAACACGTCAAAAACCTTCCACAAAAAGGCCGTGCGCGACCGGCCTCAAGCAGCTGTCCTTTGGGCTCTGCGGTCACGCTCCTAGGTCGTTAAGGCCAACATTAATCCAACTTCATTTTCAGGTTCCTCAAGAAATACCCTTCCACGGCGTGGGCAGCCGGGAAGTGATATCAGCCTTCATACCCGTAACAGCACACGAGACGAAGTTGGTCACATTCAAATCCTTCCTACACCTCCTAATACCTCTCTTATCTCCCCGACTAACCTTTCTTACGTCCCTTTATCACCTCGCAACGCTATGGCAAACGATTAGAGTACACAAAACGTTATTCCTGGTCTCCCGAAACCACGCTCTAAACTACACGTAGGAGCTTTCAATGTCCGAACACTGTGACAAATAAGACAACAGGCTTCCTTAGCTAGGACTTTAGAATCCCGCGCCATCGATGTGTGCTACGTCTCCGAAACGCACATACAGGATCCGAGTAGCGTCATCTATTTGACCTCACCGTGCCAAAATAAAAAACCGACTCGATTCACACTTCGTGCATCTGAAAGCCCAGATTCTGCTTCCCGCGGCCTCGCCGGCGTAGGTATAGCATTGAGTCCTAGGGCAGAACTAGCTCTCTTAGAGTGGATCCCAGTAGACAGTCGTTTGTGCGCTGTCCGACTGAACGGAACAGTAAGGATCCGAAAAGATAGGGACACTCGTCGTTGCCTGTTCGTCGTCTCTGCCTATTCTCCAACTGACTGCAGCTCAGATGATGTAAAAGATGAGTTTTACAGAAAGCTCTCCGACCTCCTCCTTAAAGCTAGGCGTTCGGATGTAGTAATAATGGCCGGTGACTTTAATGCTCAAGTAGGTAAACTAAGCGATAGGGAAAGACACCTAGGTGGATCTTATGGTGTCGTGGCCCAAAGAACAGATAATGGCGACCATCTGTTGCAGCTATGCTCAAATAACCGCCTGTTCCTTGCAAATACTAACTTCAGGCATAAGGAAAAACATCTTTTAACATGGAGACCCCCGAATTCGTCCCAACGTTGGACAAAAATAGATCACATCGCTATCAGCCACCGATGGAGGGGCTCGATAGAAGACTGTCGCTCATTCTGGAGCACATGCCTAGATTCAGATCATGCTCTAGTGCGAGCGCGTATTTGCTTGCGTCTTACTGGACGTAGGAAAGACGCTGCAGGGAAACCTCTTAGGGGCCTACTTAATGATAGTCAAGCTAAGAGTATATTTCAGGAACAACTAGGAAAACAGTTAGACAGCCATGTATGTGATGCCCACCCCGATGCAGCATGGAATGATATCCGAAAAGCTGTGGAATTAGCAGTGATATCTGCTAGTAAGGTAAACCAGAAGGTTAGGGAGCAACACTGGATCTCAGCAGCATCTATCTCACTGATAGATGCTCGGAAACTCATTCCACCTGGCTCTGAACATAATGAAGAGCGGAGTCAGCTTAAGCGCAAGCTGACAAGAAGCCTACGCAATGATCGCGAACAGTGGTAGGTAGCGAAAGCAAGAGAGATGGAAAAGGCAGCGGCAATAGGTAATAGCAGACAATTGTTCAGACTCGTTAAGGAAACCGGAATTAGGAACCGGACCGTTAGCGAAACAATCTCAGAGAAAGATGGACATATTATTCATTCTCAATCCAGGAGATTGGATCGATGGGCAGAACACTTTAGGGATCAGTTCATCTGGCCTTCAGCCACACTTCGGTTTCCCACGATCTCTAGTCAACCTGAATGGTCCTCCGTCCCTTTACGAAGTTGAAAAAGCCATAGGAAATCTGAAACGAGGGAGAGCAGCGGGCCCTGACAGGTTTACTCCTGAGATTTTTAAGGATGGTGGTCCAGTATTAGCAATGAGATTAACCGAGGTCTTAGGTAGAATTTGGGAACTGGACGTAATCCCATCTGACTGGTCTCAATCACTGATTGTGCCAGTTTTTAAGAAAAGGACAAAAGTCCTCTTGTGACAATCACAGAGGAATCAGTTTCACTAATGTAGTGTCTAAAATATTAGCCTCAATAATACTTCGACGCCTAATCAAAGCTCGTGAAGAGCAGATTAGAGAAAACCAGGCTGGTTTTGGACCTGGACGTGGTTGTATAGACCAGATATTCACACTACGTCAGGTCCTAGAACACAGACATACGATCAGACGCCCCACAATGGTAGTATTTCTCGACCTTAAGGCGGCATTCGACTCTGTTGATCGTAAGGTTCTATGGCAGTGTTTGTCACTGAAAGGAGTACCAAAGAAGTACATTAACCTTTTACAGGCTCTCTACTCGAACACAACTGGTAGAGTGAGAGCTTATGGCGAACTGTCATCAGAATTGATTACCTCAAGTGGTGTTCGTCAACTCTGTCCACTCTCCCCTTTCTTGTTCAACTTTGTCATTGACGTACTTTTAGAGATAACACTCTCCTCATCTAAATTTCCAGGGGTTGAACTTCTACCGGGAGGTTCGCTTGTTGACTTAGAATATGCTGATGACATAGTTTTATTTGGTGAAGACGCTGACAAAATGCAAAGTCTTCTAACCACTCTAAGCAACAATGCAGGCATGTTCGGGATGCGATTCTCCCCCTCGAAATGCGAAATGTTACTTCAGGATTGGGTTGCATCGACACCAGAACTAGTGATAGGGAGTGAAGTAATTGAGCTTGTCGATCGCTTCACTTATCTTGGAAGTCTGATCAGCCCTTGTGGTCTGGTGTGTGACGAAATCTCAGCACGGATACAGAAGGCTCGACTAGCTTTTGCCAACTTGCGTCATTTATGGCGTAGGCGAGATATCCGTCTATCAACCAAAGGACGGGTTTACTGCTCAGCAGTTCGTCCCGTCCTTCTTTATGGCAGTGAAACATGGCCGGTAAGAGTAGAGGATATTCGTAGGTTACTAGTATTCGATCATAGGTGTCTTCGAAACATTGCTCGTATATCCTGGGACCATCGAGTAAGTAATGCAGTTGTTAGGAAACGGATACTAGGTAAGGATGGCAAATCCATTGATGACGTAGTGCAACTTCATCAGTTGAGATGGCTGGGACACGTGTTACGTATGCCCAACGACCGACTGCCTCGACGTGCGATGTTCAGTGGTATAGGAGTAGGTTGGAAGAAAGCTAGGGGCGGCCAGACCAAAACAAGTCCATGAAGTCACTGACAAGTGGTCTGAGTCATGTCGGTAGGTGTAGACTACCTGGTTGGGGACCGCGAGATGATAGAAACCGATGGTTAGAGACCCTGAATGACATGGCTCAAAATCGTTTGCAATGGCGCAGGTGCATCTACTCTTTGTGTTCTCCCAAATTTTGATCTCCTTATTCCTCCTTGTCTCTTTTTTTTCTCCTCTCAAATTTATTTCACTGTATTATACTCTTTAAGTAACATCTCCAAACACTAATCTTCCCGATTACTGCTTATACTCTTATTACCTCTACTACTACGGGATTTGAATCGACCACTGCATCTCTATGCTAATGTGGTGTGGCAACTCGAACTGATGTACGTACGTACGTACGAAGTTCTACGTTGTTACTGACTGACTGACTGAATGTTAGGGATAATATTTTTAAGGAAAACAATTTCTAACCTATCCTTCCGTTATAGGGAGGTAGTATTGTTGCAGATGCTGAGAAGTGTACTACCACCACACCCTACTATCCACGGGTACGGCTTCGTCGTTTCTTGTTTTGGTTTTATTACTCTTCAATCAAACTTGCCTAGCAACATGGGCCAATCGAATCATGACGATAGGCAGACCCATCTACCACGTCAAGGTCTCAGATACGATAGACATGGAGAATGAAACGCACTTGCACTCATAATGACAATGGATTTTTTTTCTGGTATGCAACTTTCGTTTCTTAAAGTCTTTTTAAATCCAAAACTAGTTTTTGGTTATGAATTTTAAAGTGGCACATCTATGTTAAAATGACAAATGTTAGTCCTTAGTGCTAACGGTCACGTAAGTTCTCGAAATCCCAATGATACCATAATCATCGGTGCATTTTTGCTTGAACATAATAGTTGTAACGGAAAAGTCAACTGTTCCGTTGTTTTTGTTCACGAGGTGAATCAGCTATTTCAAGAATGCATGTACTGTACTTTGCTGATAAGTGCCATCCAGTACACGAAACCTATTTTCCAGAGAGTCGTAGTGATAATCTTCAACCACATAATATTGGAAGGAGATAACATTTTATGTGCATTGTAGTCGCACAATATTTGCACTTTAATCATATTATTGGTTCCTAATTTTATTTATTTAAACACATAAACATTGGTACATGGAGACATCAAATAAATATGCCCCACATTTCATCATCCGGTTTGTGTAAGGCCTGGGATACTGCCTGGGTGCCCAATCCGAAGCAGGTGGTTTTCTTAGGGGGCCACTCTGAGCGTTTGACCTACAGGTATAGTCCACAAGGCAGTGGAGCAACGTTCGGAAATGCAGTCTCATAGTAGCCGGTGCCACTTGTTCTCTCAGGATCATGGATCCTATGTGCACCATTGGTTTAGGATGAGAGTTTTCCAACTTCCCTTAGTGGATCCTTCGTATCCACTAACCCGATTAAAACGCTGGACATATCACCCAAAATCTAACCATTAGTTGGAGTAATCACATGGACCTCAACCAGGTAATCTGTACTAACCTACATGGCTCGATCCAACAGTTCATGAATTGACGCCAAGTGTTGGTCTGACCAACACTAGCCTTCTTCCAGTCTACTCCTACACCAGGTAACACACCCAATCGAGGTAAATAATGGTTGTGGCATGTGTTATGTATGCCCAATCACCTCAGTTGATGAAGATTCACCACGTCATCATTCGATTTGCCATCTTTACTTAGTATCATATACCAAAACTATACATTACTCACTCGACGGTCCCGATATATACGAGCAATGTTTCGAAGACACCTATGCTCGAATACTAACAACCCACTAATATCCTCTATTCTTATTAGTTTTGCCTTACACGCATAAAGTTAAACGAAATGAACTGCTGCATTGCAAACTCTTCTTTTGGTCGACAGACAGATATCTCACCTACACCACAAGCGATGCGAATCGAAAAAGTTGATCGAGCCCTTTGAATCCGTGCAGAGATCTCGTCAAACACACTAGCACATCAAGACTAATGAGACTTTCAAGATAAGTGAAGCTGTCAACACACACGATCTGTGGAAGAGATAGCCTGATGTACCACCGAACAATATGCATAAATATTCATTCATATATACGTATGCATTTCTACCCCTTGACACCAATTCATTTCTTAGCCGATAACATGTATTTGTCATTCAGGTCATTTCTACTTGTCACCAACACTTATGATCGAATACTAGTAGCTTACTAACATCTATCCTTAATAGTTATGCCTCATACCGATAAAGTAGAATAATAACACTAATACATTTTATCATAAATTTATGACTATTGTGAGTAAATATTGAGTAAGTGACGTGTTTTCGTTCTTTTCTTTACTTGATTAATTACACAAATATCAGTTTTATACGACGGTCGTGTTGGTTTGGATCCTTGAAATTTTCAAATCTCTCTGCCAATCTCCAATTAGCTTTTCTAATTTATTTCCGTGGTCCATGCTATTCTACTCAGCTTTAATTCCTGTGAATTTTGCAAGTTCCATTTAAATCTATAGTTGAACTTCAAAGTTTGTAGAGGCAAATAACTTTCGAAATACTATAGTCTTTATTGTTTACTTATTAGTTCAAGGAACTTAGTTCGTGAGCAGATATGAGACTTAATGTAGACCGCATAGGTATTGTTCTTTTCGTTTCTCAAATATAGATATATATAGATAGAAATAATTACGTTCACTAAAAATGCTTACTGTTTTAAATTGTATTACATTTGAGAACTGAAGTTAGCCGTTTTTATCATTTAGAAACCACCTAATTTTATTAGCAGTATTGTTAATGTTAATCTTTCAGAAGTATATCTTTTGTTTGCTTAAGATAGACTATTGAAAATAGCGGAGTACAGAGCGTGCATTCCATCCTACTTGGTTAAAAGTAGTATTTACTAACGTTGTATGTCCATATTATATTAAACGAACAGTCTTACCAGAGCAAAACAATTTACAGAGATAATAAATTATTCCTATCTTGCATCACTTTTGAGGTAGACGAGATATCCATCTGCCAAATAAATGACAAGTTTACTGCATAGCAGTTCGCTTCATTCTACTTGGTCTTTTTTTCTACGTGGACCTTGAAAATTAGAGGATACTCGTAGGCTACTCACATTTGACCTTAGGTGCCTTCGAAGCCTTGGTCGTGTATTTTGAAACCACAGAGTAATCAATCCTCGGTTATAACTAGGGTACTAGACAAAGATATCTAGTCGTTTGATAAGATAAGTCCATCAACTGAGATAATTGGGACATGTGTTACGTATACCCATCCACTGCCCACCTCGATATGGATGTTGTCTGGTGTGTAGTATGTTGGAAGAAAGCTAGTGGCAGCCAGATCGGAACATTGCACCATTTTATGAAGTCATAGACTGAGCCATGTTATTAGTTGTCGACTACTTGATTGGAGTCCGCATGACTGTCGTAACCAACGGTTGGAGACTGGATGAGAATGGTGCATGTGCATCCATTCTTTGTCTTCTTCCACATTCCAAGCTTTTGAATTCTTCATGATGTTATTGTTATTATTTCACCGATTTATATTTCCTAGAATCGTATCTTCGATGCCTAATCTTTTATAGGTAAGACTGATTTATGGACGCTTTTGAGTAACGCTGAAGTGACCTTAGAAATGGACACCTACTGATTAGGAGCAAATGAGAGTTATAAACCAGTTAGAATTATGATTTACAGTTGGTAGTTAGGGTTAGGAACTAAATTTAGGGTTTTCATCACGAACTGACATCAATTATAATGCCAAAACTCTGTTTAGCCAAATGTATGGATGAATTTCGCGCCAAAATACATGACTCGTTATGTCCATAAATTATAGTCTCAGTTTTTTACATTGTCACTGGTTTCGTTACTACATCTACTACTGTGAGATTTGGCGTAATATTTTGATTTGTGTTTGGTAACGGGATATGACAATGTTAACCGATGTACACATGTGTTAGGTCATGCGTTATATTCGACTAACTGAGTGATATTTGTTGTTTCATAAAATTTTCGTTAGATGTTTATCAAAAACTTATTTTTCCAAAACGTAGTTTAGGTGATCCAAAGAAACAATTTATTGTCGCAGCAGAAAACAATGATCTATCTACTATCCATCGCCTTATTGAGTCAGCTAAGCAAAAAGATGTTGAAGGAGTGGTGGAGTTAAAAGAATTGTTATCAGCTAAAGATCAAGATGGTTACACGGCATTGCATCGTGCAGCATATGGAGGACATGTAGAAGTTTTACAGGTAAATAAAGTTTGTACACTGAATAATTTTAGGCGATAAACTGTGCACAATGATTTGTCCGAGGACTTTTTTAGAATTGAATTTCGACTATTTGTAGTACTTTGTTTCTAGTCTTTATAATTCAACTGCCACCTGTTTCTGATCACGTTTAACATGTTCGGTAAATAATCTGATTCATTTATAAAGTATAACTTTATGTACTCGCATTTAAGCTGCGTTTGTGTAAAAGCTAGTTTTATTACCCACTTGCTTAATCAGGCTTTGAAATTATGATCTAATAAATAGAAATCGGACACTTAAACAAACTATCAACTTCAAAGATCTATTAAAGTAGCGAACATTGGAGAACTTTATGTCCCAGTTTGTGATTCTTCAACATTAGGCACCTGTGATCCTGTTCGCGTACTGAACGCAAGCCTATCGATTAACACATCACCTTCAGATTATTAAGTATTTACTTCTGATTGAAAAATAATCAAAAAGATCATTGGTGTTTCTACGTATTCTTTGGAACGTTATACATTATTTTAACAGATACTTTTGTTTATACTCCTTCAACTTAGTATCTAATGAAATACGGAGCAAACATAAACAATAGGACAGAAGATGGATGGACACCATTACACAGTGCCGCATTCTGGAATAAATTATCTTGTGTTCAATTACTTATTGCAGCTGGTGCAGATTTAAGTGCTCGTAAGTTAGTTATCTCTATGCTTTTGAGTATAAGTCCTGTTATTCACATATATTAGATAATAAGCAGTGTGATATGTAAGTTGAGTATATTTCAGTCTCATTTAATGTTCGTCATTAACATCTTACTTCATGGAAGCTTTCTTGTTTTGCGTACCAAGTATCGGTGCAATAAACGTCGAATGTTTTTTTTCTTATATGACTGATAATCGCTTGCAAATCCTCTAACTATTAAAATATGTCTCTCCAATATTCGACACTGTTAATTCTATCGAAGCGTCGAAGTAACCCCGATTGAGATACGCGCGAAATCGAAGTCCCAAAACAACGATTTGTCTACAAAAGCGGTTCTTTATTAAATAATATACAAAATTTAGTTACAAACCTCAACTTGTGAGGTGTCTGGGCGTTTAAACGCGTCGTTCAAGAATAAAAATAGCAAAGGCTTCCTGTAAGAGTAACATAAAGAATGATTACAACATACGATAGTCCAAAGACAGCCGATAGCTGTGTCTAAATTTGGTAACAGTTTATGAACAACCGAAACTCGAACCAAGAGCAAAACAATATGGAAACTGTTGCATTCAAACAAATGTACAAAACTGTGGATAATCGTTACAGTAGTTAAATTACAGTGGTTATAATGATAAATACAATTATAAGTAAAATAAACGTTAAGGATATAGGTGAACATTCCAGAATGTTACAGTACAACTTGAGATACAACATAAGTGTGAAAATTGTTTGGCATACAGCTGCCTACTGAACGTAAATAAGTAGTATAAAACAACATACAAAGAGTAGAAAAGGAACATGTAGGAATAATGTAAGACAAACTTAACACCGCCCCCCAAAGACAGCATGTCTTTCCTTACTTTCGCTGATTAGGTATTAACGTAAAAACATTCAGAGGTGACAATGGTACAATTTACTCTAGCCACAGTCACTCTGAAAAGTCTCTCTATCCTCTACTTTTCGGTCATCAGCTCCTTCTTATAAACAAATTTTACATATGCCTCTAATAATTGTACCCTTCCACGTTCTGATCTTCGCTTGGTTCCATAGACCATCTCCTCCTGGGTCAAAACTTACCACGAGGCCTTTAGGCCAGTTATTTCGTGCATAAATGTCTCCAATAATCAAGACTGAATCGCGAACTTGTAAATCTTGTCTTCCTTGTGTCCATTTCGTTCGCGTCTGTAAGAGTGGTCTATCATTAGGTATTCTCTCTGCTTCAGTCAAACAGGTGGTGAGTGTCTCGTAGGACATAGATACTGCGCTCGAAAGTCTACGTATGCTTCCTATTAATTTTTCCCATACTCGATGATGATTTGCGTAGGGAGTGTTGTGGTGCCGTTCTATGTTCCGATTAGTCATTTCTTTAGCTACTCTACTATCATTAAAGCCTGGTAATGGATGTTGTATCTGCTTGTCTAACCCAACTAAAGGAGACATGGATACAGTTGTCTTAAACTTCTTATCATCATCAGCATACTGAATAAAACAATCATCTTTCTGATTCTCTGTTTCACACTTGATGTCAATAGAACTCTCAGCAGACGCTACTACAGGAGATACAAGTTTCGTATTTGCAGAGAACTGAGTTGTTGTTGCTTTGCAACTAATTGATGACTCGTGTAGTTGTATCACAGACTTAGCACTATTGTTTACGTCAGAAACACCAGGGAGATCTGTTTCGGCAGAGAACATAACAGATGTTTTCGATGACATTAACTCTCCACTATCTGTTGGAAGAATTTTGTCTGGAGGAGAAATACATCTAAGGTCATTATTCACTACTGTGTCGACATGACTATCGTTGACAGTTTTTAGAAGGTACTCATCGTCAATAGCTGGTAATGAAATAACTTGTTCTAAATCCATTAAATTCTGGTCTGTCGCTTTAGATACAGAATCAAAGGTGTCTATAAGTCGGTTACTTCTTGAATCAGGTGGAGTGTTAAATCCAGAAGAACGAACTGACGGTAAGCCTTGATGGACCCTGGGATCTTCAGTCTCATCAGCGGCTGCTGCTACTATGAGTGAGCGTACATCACCATTATCGACTAAGAGTGCCACATCAGGAGAGTGTTTAAGGCATAAACCAGGATCATCTATGAACAGCAACAAACGATTTGAAGAGTTTTCAGGCGCTACTGTGGTCAAAGAAGAGGGTGGCGTGGGTCCGTCCTCGATAGAACTCTTTGCTTCTAAACAACCTTCCCAACTCAATCGTGACTCTTCGTCTATCATCTCATCCCACCCATAGTTTTTACGACATAGCTGTTGCAGAATTCGTTTAGGGGTAAGTGATAAAGGCGCTAGAAATCCAAGCGGGTCATATAACGATGATGCACATGATAGAATGCCTCTCTTAGTGATCGGGCGTTCGGGAAGATTTACGTCGAACGCGAAACAATAGGATTGCGTGTGCCAACAAAGTCCTAAAGTTCTCTGTATACGTTCTGTTGAGCCTGGTATACGAACCAAATTGTTTGATCTGTCACCTATAGGGACGTCATTCAGCGCTTCATTTACGTTACTAACCCATTTATGTAAACGGAAGCCTCCAAGTGCCACTAGTCTCATTAGGTTCTTTGCTAACTCAGCAGCTTCTGATATTGTTTCTACTGAGACTAAACAATCGTCTACATAAAAATTTTCTCGTAAAGTGGACAGTGTTTTTTCATCGAACAAATCTCGGTGGTCTGTAGCTGTGCGTCTTAAAGCGTATGTAGCGCAAAACGGTGAGGACGTAGCCCCGAAAGGGTGTACATGCAACTCATAGACGTCAGGAGGAGAATCAAGATTGCCATCGGGGTACCATAAAAAGCTGAAGGCCTTTGTATCCTTTTCGGGTAGATGTACCTGGAGGAACATTTCTTCAATGTCTGCTGACAATCCAATCTTATGCTTTCTGAATCTGAGCAAAACTCCCACTAGGTCGTTTGTAAGATCTGGTCCAGAATATATACAATCATTCAGAGATCTGTTTTGTAACTTAGCAGCACAATCGAAGACTATCCGAACTTTACCTGGTTTTTTAGGGTTAAATACGGGATGATGTGGAATAAAATACCTTTCTTCTTCGATAGCTTGTGTTACTCGAGCCAAGTATCCTTTACTTTCGTGGGTAGCTAATATAATAGTATATTGTTTCCGAAGCTGTTCGTCCTTTAGCAACCTTTTCCGTAGGTAAATTAGTCGTTTTTCTATTTCGCGCTTATTCCTTGGAAGTGAGTGCCAATCCACCTTCCAGGGTATCGGCACTTGATAATGTCCTTCGAGCAATACTGTTTGCTTGTCAGTAATCTCCATAATGGTCTTATCACATAGGGACATAGTAACCTTATCAGAGTATTTATTTTCAGAAAATTCATGTTCAAATAATTTGAGAATATCCTCTTCAAGGGAATTTTTTGCTTTTAAACAGTTCATGAAGACTGAAGTTTTATTAAGTTGACCCGTTGGTCCAAATAAAGCCCACCCTAACATGGTTAGTGAAGCATAGGGTTGTTTAGGTTTTCCGATACGCTGATCGAGTACCCAGTGGGCCTCAGGAACGTCAACACCAAGTAACAAACCAACCTTGTCACAGGCTACGGAGGGTAGTTGTACACCTTTCAAGTGTTTCCATCTTTCTTGGAAGTCCGTTGGTGGGATTTCTGCTCTTTTAATAGGTAGGTTATCTATAGTATATGCACCTTCGATTTTTATTCGGTTGGTCTTATCTAAAGACTCAATTTCGAAATTGGTAAGTTCAGCGTTCTGAGATGACGCTCCAATTACTGAAGATATGTTTAATCTTGTCCCTGCACCAGAAATTCCTACCTGCTTTGCTACGTCACTAAGCAGTAATGTCGAATCCGAGCCATTATCTAACAGTGCATAGGTATCCACATAACCTGTGGGACCATGTAGTCTGACTGGAACAAAGCCTAAATACGTCCTAGTAGTATGAGTAGAGTTACAATATGCTCGTTTAACATCAGGTTCTGTGTTGTGAAGAATTCTATGATGGCGTCGCTTGCATCCATCAATTTCACACAACACGGGCTGTCTGCATTCTGTGACTCGATGATTGGGTTTTAAGCAATTAAAGCAAAGTTTAAACTTCTTTAACAATTCTACCTTTTCGTTGTGACTCACTGACAACAGCTGAGGGCAGGATGCGACTTCGTGGGCATCGGAGCAAATTACACAATGGACTGATCCTTTAATCGACGAAGTATGGATCTTCGCTCTTATGGAAGACGACCGGTTGTTCGATGTCGTTTGAGCCTTATAGCTTCCGCCTGCCAATTGTCCGTATGTGTTTGTTGCGATTGACACTTTCTTTTCTATGAATTGCAATAAATCATCGAAATTGGGCTCTAGCCCCTTTCTTAAAATATCGTCCGCGGCCTCCGCCCATTTAAACTGCATACTACGTGGTAGCTGTTTCACTATTCGTTTTATGTTGGTCGAACAATTCAGATCGTCATTCCTGCCCATCTGTGACAAGGCTATCTTACAATTAGTCATGAGTCTTGTCAGTTTCTGTAGGCCAGTTATGTCGTCTTGATTCAATGGTGATCCACTTAAGAGTTCTGTTAAGAAGGCTTCTACGATGTCGTGTGGTCTGCCGAACCGTTCATGTAGAAGCTTAATTGCCTCAGTATAACCTTCTTTTTCTGGTAATAAAACACAGTGTTCTATAGCATCCTTTGCTATACCTTCGCAATAGTGTATCAAGTACATTAATTTCTGGGTGTCATCATTTACTCTGTCAGCTATGTTAACCTTGAATCCCTTCATGAACGTCCAAAATTTCAGAGGGCTCCCGTCAAATTTCATGATTTCTATCTTCGGTAAGCTTACTGACATACATAACGCCTTGACACTATCTACCTGTGCTTTGAATTGCATTTCATCGCTCGAAAGTACATTGGTGTATCGGTGACTTGCTGTAACTGCCGAAGTTTTATCCTCGGATCGAGACCCCGACAACTCGATAGTCTCCCTAGGTCTTCTCACTTTGTTTGAAGAGTTCGGAGTTAGCTCTAACAATCGCTTGCGTAGTTGGAGTTCTCTTATCTCCAGCTCAATCTTTTCTACTTCCCTTTCCCTAGAGTCCACTTCGTCTTCTACACTGTATCTAGTCTCTATATAGTTGTCTCCTACCGAGCAACTGTCTTTGGGGTTAGGTTTAACAACATCAAAGGCAAGATTTAAAGGAATAGGTGAGTTCACCTTGGAAACTGAAGGAATAATATTTTCAGCACTGGAATTGTCTGTGTCTTGGGAACTGTCATCGTTGTACTTCATTCTTCTCGTTCTAGTCATCGTTGGGATGAATGAACCAAACAGAATTCCGACCAAATTTCGTTACAGCAAGTGTTCCCTCCAATTAGGACCAAAGTTCAGAACTGTATCCAGACCAAATGAGACCAAAGTTGAGAACTGGTATCCACACCAATGAGACCAAAGTTGAGAACTGTTAATTCTATCGAAGCGTCGAAGTAACCCCGATTGAGATACGCGCGAAATCGAAGTCCCAAAACAACGATTTGTCTACAAAAGCGGTTCTTTATTAAATAATATACAAAATTTAGTTACAAACCTCAACTTGTGAGGTGTCTGGGCGTTTAAACGCGTCGTTCAAGAATAAAAATAGCAAAGGCTTCCTGTAAGAGTAACATAAAGAATGATTACAACATACGATAGTCCAAAGACAGCCGATAGCTGTGTCTAAATTTGGTAACAGTTTATGAACAACCGAAACTCGAACCAAGAGCAAAACAATATGGAAACTGTTGCATTCAAACAAATGTACAAAACTGTGGATAATCGTTACAGTAGTTAAATTACAGTGGTTATAATGATAAATACAATTATAAGTAAAATAAACGTTAAGGATATAGGTGAACATTCCAGAATGTTACAGTACAACTTGAGATACAACATAAGTGTGAAAATTGTTTGGCATACAGCTGCCTACTGAACGTAAATAAGTAGTATAAAACAACATACAAAGAGTAGAAAAGGAACATGTAGGAATAATGTAAGACAAACTTAACAGACACTAAGGTTTAAAAAATACAATCTTGGAAACAATACACTACACCTTTCTTCATTACTATAGGCATGTAATATATCTACAGAATCCAACTAACAATTATCCCATAATCGATTTCCTAATCCACATACAGGTACTTCGTTTTATGAAACCATATAAATTATGTCGAATATACAAATTTCACTAGTCTGGGTTTACTAGTTAATCAAGACGCGTAGATCATTTAACGCTAGGTAGTATAATAAAAATAAAGTTTCTCATATGATTATTTCCATGATCATTTCATCAATAAAAATATTGTGCAAGTCCATCGGCTATTGTTTATTATCGTACTATTCTGATAGATATGTAGACTTCGTGTGATTGACTGACTGATTAGTTAATAACGCGAAGTCCAATTGATATTCGTACAACTTACTTGAACATAAACCACACTCACTTTTTAGGAGCCAGTGATTTACTAGTTAAAAGGTCTAACTTTCAACCACTTAATCACATGTCCCATTGACATCTCGCCTGCGGTTTGAGCAGATAGTTAGTGTCACTAAGCCTCATTCATAGTTTACCTCAAAACCCGATACACAAATCTACAGTTTGTGAATAGTATCATATTTACTTTTACATTTCTTACCATAAAATAAGACATATTGTTCTTTCTAATCGATTCAACACTGGGTTTTTGTTTTATTAGTTACAAATAGTGGACAAACCGCTTTACATTTAGCTGTTTCAAACAACCAAGGACCCGAGACATTATATTTATTAATGGCTCAACCTGGTGCACCAGTTTATGGCGTACGCAATAAATTAGGCGATGAAGTCGCTGATATTATCAAAAGAAATACACCTTATGGGGATGTTTGTTATGCATTCAGTGAACCAGTAACTAATTTGTTGTGAAAAATATAAATGATTCACTTTTTTCCCTATATTTTGTAGTGACTTTTGTATAACCTTGTCTTTGGGGTTTTCGACCGGTTGTTTTTTAGATTAAGTTGACTTATATATAAAAAGATAAGTAGCTCATGTATATACTTCTGGTATTTTCGTAATGTCATTCAATTCAGACAGAGCAGTTCTGTTACATTAGGCGTATCTTATTCGCATGTCACTGTAAGCCCAACCACGTAGTTATTTCCTCACACTTCAACTAAAGACTGATTATGAGCACCGTTTAAAGTTGGGAAAATACATTCTATCAAATACAGAGTGTAAAAATGATCAGATATTTATTGTCCTGCAACACCAATCAATCACCATTTACCTTCGCCAACGCATCAAGTGTTGTAATCTTTAAGGCCCTGGTACGGCTGAGAGTGGGGAGAGTCCGCTCTCCCTCTCGAAATGCTGTTACATGGCCACGCGTATATAGCCTCTGTTAAGGAAGTCCTACTCACTGCCTTCTCGTGGCGGGGGTGTTGTTTACGAAATTGAGAGGACGAAAAGCGAATGTCCGGCGCTTTAACCGGGTTGGTGGGCATGGAGATTTCACCTAGGGGAGTTGGAAAACCCTGACACCAAACCAATGGTGCACATTGGCCCTAGTATCCTGAAGGAACAAATGGTGTATGAACCAATCGTTGGTCACCGACTACCATGGGACTGAATCCCCTGACGTTGCCCACTGCCTTGTGGATCAAACCTTCAGGTCGGAGGCTCCGGTTGTGGCCCCCTAAGAAAACCACCTGCTCCGGTTTGGGCACTCGGGCAGTATCACAGCCCTCACACATATCAAATGAGATTTGTGTGGCGCATATGTGTTTGGTGCCTCCTTGTACCAATATTTATGTGTTAAAATAAATAAATCTTCAAGGCAAATCGTTTAATTACAAAATTCTAACAATATGTAGATATCATAATTAGATTAGGAATCAGTGATATGCTTGTGAATACTTATGAAGATTAGTATCGCCTAGTGGATTACTCGTTTATTAGGTTGTGAGTTTGACGAATTGGCTCTAAATCAGTTGTTGGTTTGTGTGATATTCCTTGTTTTGGGATTGGCGCTATTCGATGTAGCTTCACTTCTTACATTCTCATTAGATGATTAAGAAAAGGATTAGATAGGAGTTTTCTTTATTAGCTTAACTAGTCTTGACCTGATGTAAATTGAGTGCTTAACATACTTAGATTTCTAATGGTTCTCTGTTTACTGCTTTAGACTCGAAAAAGACGAATAACCTACTGTGCGGGACAAATCCCTAGATATGTTCCTAAAAACACTATTACTTTTTCATTTTGAGCTCGCAGTCAGTCAGCTACAACGTAGGACCAGGCACATATGTGCATCGGTCCAGGTTGCCATACCGCATCAGCACAACAAGATGAACACCTCAATACTCTGGTATTTCAGAAATCGATCGGGCTTCTTATTTAAAGATAGGGTATTTTTCATTGATTGTCGTGCTAAGAAGTAGAAATAAAGGACACAACTAAGGATGTATCGCGAGGTGGTTTTCATGGCATTCCCAAAACACGGATTGAAATACTATTTTTTTAAAAATTAGTCCCTTTTTGTTACAAGGAACTCAGACTACGTTATATGTTTTTTCGACTATGTGGATCCTTCCTTATTGCAATCCGTTGTCAGATAAACTGCATACACACCACGGTTTTTCAAGTATGTGATAGCCTGGAAGTTATTGAATGCAGTAAAGTAACCCAGGAGTATCTAGGATCTCACCAGTATTCTGCCTCTCATGCCAGTGATATGTTTGTTCCATTAGCAATGGTTAATGGAAAGTACGAGGGTCGTTGTAAATTGTCTCTGATTATGATTGGCTTTCTAAAGTTCATAATTGCATAAATCTGTAACACAGATTTTGAAGAAGTTAAGGTTTGGACATATAGTCCTCACTTTAACGGGCGTACATACACACTTAGGATCCCAAGATTTACAAGTCGAATAAACGCATGAAACTCAGGATAGTTTGCTGGCATAACTATGGTATTACGAACGAGACTTCATGTTTGAACGGTATTGTCAGCAAGTTCCTGATTGCATTTTTGTTATGGTTGAGTTAAAGACTGAATGAGGCTACTATCTAGTCTTTTAGTGATTTTGGAAGTGAGCAGGCCGCAATTTTTTGTTGATATAACGAACTGGTCCTCAGCTTCGGCAATACTAAGGATATGTTCGTCAGTCAGTCCTAGCGTAGAAACTGATACATATACATTGGTTCACGTCGCCATATCCCATTACGAAACACAAATGGGATTATTACGCCAAATCCCACAGTAGTAGACGGAGTAACAAAATCAGTGACATAAAAGATTAGGCATCGAAGATACGATTCTAGGAAATATAAGTCGGTGAAATAATAATAATATCATGAAGAAATCAAAAGCTTGGAATGTGGAAGAAGACAAAGAATGGATGCACCTGCACCATTCTCATCCAGTCTCCAACCGTTGGTTACGACAGTCATGCGGACTCTAATCAGATAATCGACAATTAATAACATGGCTCAGTTCAACATTAATAGCCCACATACAAACTACCACGTGGTCGAGTGCGTAAGCCTTTAGTTAGGGAATACACAATATTTCCATAACCCTGGATTAAATTTGACACTTAGATTCTGTTTCGAGGGAGAAGATAGCCAATGATAGGAAACAGTTCTAGGGAGCATATCCGATTTCGCAAACTGAGTCGAGGCTAATAGACAGACTTGTCCGAATAACACTGATGTATGTGTTCGAGTTGTCGCCATCACATGCAGGAAGTTTTAAAGGGACTAGGTAGATGACAAACCAACGAAACAAGCACCTATTTGTATCTGGTTTAGACCAAGAAATTCACCAGTCTGAAACGATCAATCATTTTAACCCGTCGTAAGTCTAGCTAGTCAGAACGACGTGCAATCTCTTCCATAAAGCGACATGGGCGAGTGAGAAGGCAAATAGTTAAGCCAAGTACCAGGCCTATTACTTCACCAGCTACCATATAACGGTACAATCCTAGAAACCATGACGTCTTAATTGAAAACACCTGATCGTCTGTGATCAAAAAGCACTTACAATCTTCCTACTCTTGGGACTAAGGTCGATATATTATAATTGAGCACCATATAACGGTAGATATGCAGTCACAATTCATAAACGAATACTGAATATGCACACCCTCTAGCCGGATCAACGACTAGGCCCTTGAAATGAATAATTACTACAGCACGAGACAACAACAATTGTTTTGATAAATTGTATTCGGTATCTGATATACAATACATTTGAAACTACGTTACTACTGCCCTGGAGAAAGAGGCATAAAGACGCTCCATAATGAAATAGGAAGCTCGAGTGGACGGCCTTGGTTTGTTACACCGAAGTATATGATGAGTGGAATATAGCCAATGTGGAAGGCTATCCTGAGGAAATTGCAAACTTTTGACAAATATAACATATAACCAGATTTTGGCTTCTGCAATGTAGAGTCACCTAACACAAACATTGTTGATTAGCTTTGATCACTATGGTAGTTTTGGTCTAGCCCGGAGGGTACAAGGGATGCGGGTGTGCAGAAAGCTGGAAAATAAAATAAGGGATAATGAGAGTCCGCGACTTGGTAAGCTCGAAATGCGACAACATTCAATATGAAAAGCAACTTGTCAATTACTAGCAACAAAAGGCGTGAAGCTTAAACAATCTGATAGAACTATGAGTTATCAGGTTAACTTATGCAACGGTCACACTCACACAACGCACAGCTAGCCTGGAATTTAGATCACCGCGTCTTTTCTCTGGCGACCTTGAGCGACTTTAAACAACGCAGCAATTTTATCAAGTTCCTCAGGTCGGTAGTGTACCTGCAGGCTAGCTTAACGTAGTAGTATGTGTGCCTGTATAATTCGGAAGACCTTAGTGACATATAACCATACGTATTGTATGTTTTTGCCTACTTTTCATCGGAATATCTCTGCTGAACAGTTTTATTTTCAATTTATGGCTATTAATAGGTTGGTTTGTACGTTTTTTCCTTCTGTGACTGTCGTATCTTTTGTTCATTTTTTCAGTCGTATTACTGTGTTGGATAGTATTTTGAACGACCTAATATAATTTGCGGCCCATTATCTGACTCGAATTTGATCGTACGAAAGTGCTACAGACATAAATCTTCCATTTAACTCTGAATACTGCAAAGGCTTACCGCGTTTTGTGACGGTGGTAATATGGAGCCAAATAAGGGTTGCGTTTGATGAATTTATTTCAAGAACTTGTTTACCCAGATAGACATTAGCAATAAGAAGCGGGAAGCGCAGCATAAAAGGCAAATGAGCGTGACATGATATTTATATGCAGACAGAAATTAAGCTGTATACACGCAGTTAGTGAAGTAAAAAATTAACACACGTATGCGCACTTAAAATATATCAAGGTTTAGAAGAGAATGATTACCATGGTCAAAGTGTGGCCCGTAAATAATGAATAAACCAGTCCGTTCATTAGTCACACAAACCCAAGTGGGCTTAACATGGTACAAAACATTGCGCATATACTTCTCAGCCAACAATCTTATCTTGAATGTTTATGACATGTAATATATTTTAAAATGCACTAAAGGATTCCCAGCAATTAAGAGAAACAGAATCCCGTTCGTTACAGATGAAATATACTGAGGAAGTTTACGTACTATTTAAGCCCTCCGTTTTTTGCTCTAGTTACGAAGCCGTATGGCTAATGAATCTATGACAACAGGCCTGTACAGGTTATATTGTTACTAGAAAGTTTATATCTACATTCGTTATACAGATAATCAGACATCTATTGGGAAGTCTTAAGTAAGTGAGCATGTTTCACGACGATGACTAAAGGATAATACTATTCCGAGGCTTTGAGCCACATCAAGGTCCTCAGTCTTCATCATCGTTTTATTTATCAATATCTGTTGTGTCGTGCTACTGTTGCTCATCACGAGCGTATGGTGTTTGCG